GAAAGGGAGGTTTGTGAGTGCATGTGATTGAACTGTTACCCTGCACCTAATTTAGAATATATTTGGTTACAAGGATATGCTCCTACAGCTGAAATATCTCAAGTCCACAACATGTATTACTTGTACACACAATAGACATAAGACAAAACATAAACACACACCCACACACACACATGCACATGTATTGTGTATTATGATTTACAGGGACTAAGGCCAGTACGTATTGTTATAATTATCCTTGGAGATAATAAATAGATAAACATGTAAATGTGAGTTTATAACCCATGCTCAAAAACACTGACTGTGATTCTGAAGATATCGTACAAGAGTCATTTTAAACAGAGGCAGAGAAGTTACAGAGCGGATCGATATCAGTAGGCTACTCCCGTCAGAAGGAGCTTTAAATTGTTGTCCAACTTCTTTTTTGACTCTATAGGAACTACAAAAACAGAAACCAAACACTTGGATGGTTGTTGTGATGGCGCTTTGACGTTGGAAATGTAGTGTAACTTGAAATGTCAAACGTAGAAATAACTAGAAATATAAAATGAACTGTCCAGAGAGTGTCCAGGTTCCAGTCGGATATGTCTATCCATAATAATCCATTGATAATCAAATTGTAGAAAAGAATTAGAACAAAACAGTAAAAGACAGAAAATAATACCTTTTCAAACTGTAACACATGACACAGTAAAAAACTACCGATAAAAAACTAAACTAAGATAGACTTTTGATCTCACAATGGGAGAAATGTACATGTCACATTTCACTCAGGGTGTGCAAAAGACAGGAAATGTGGACATGGACATGTTAAAACAATTCTCTTTTGTGCAAGATTATATTATGTAATTAAACTCATCACTTTGTAATCTGTGCCACACCTTAAATCATATTTAGAGCTTCTTTTATATCTACAAGGCTGAGGCCCTCCCAGAGCGCCCCCTGCTGTATATGGCTCCAGTCGTCGTTGCGTTTTGACCTTTTGAGATGTTGCTGGGAGCCTCTCTACTATCACTGGGGCCCTTTTCACGTTCACTAGATTACACTGATACTAGTTTGTTACGATGACGTTTTGAAATGATCGTAGGATTTGTCGAGTCGTCCTTGGAGATCCCTGCCAGCTTGAGGCCCGAGGCAGTGGCCGAGTATGCCTCCCCCATCTGGCAGTAAACCCCCTTTGAACTCTGTCGGCCATATACACTTATACTTAGCACTTTCCCGACCCGCTGACCTCTCCATCCCTGTAAAGAGGCGGTGGATACAGTTACAACCACTGTGTGTCTTCTAACTACATGCAACAGGCTTCTAATTATTCACTGTGTGACAATAGGAGTCTGCTGTAAAGTGTTAGAGCAGAGGACGTGTACACGGTCAGCGGGTCATGTGACACCAACACTGGACTCACTGAGCAGCTCCGGTGCCTGGATGCTGCATGTTTCATGTGGCCCTGAAAGCTCGTTGCATGCATGGTTACCTACATTTACATTGCACTTGTGTTTTCTACTTATGGGTACAGCTTTGCTCATTCAAAGCCATTCCACCTGTCCCGCATGATGTTTAAGACAGCAATATGTAAGATTTTTCATGTCAAGTCATCATTAAATGGACCTAATAAGTCAAAAGGCATTAATAACTCATGCTCTTTTCGAATACTTCTTTAACTTTAATAACTCTTGTTATTGTTTTCATTTTTATGTCCCGCCCTCCATTTTTTTACTAATCAGAAAGTCTGTGATCCGGGTTGACAGAACTCACCGCACCAAGAGAATGTCACCAGTAAAGTAACATGTAGCCGCAGAACTAAAAAGGTCTTGATTTGATTCTCAAATCATTAACGACAAAACAAGGAATAAAACGAGGATTTCCATTGAGGCCTTTGTGAAAAAGGTGTTGGTTATAGATTTGTTGTTGACAAATTTGTTGTCTATTCAGTTATTATTACTATGGTATTATGGTCCCAACTGGATTCGTCTGCATATCTGGCAACCTGAGTCAGGGAGAGTGGGAGAGGTTGCAGTACCACTTTTGGCCAGTTTTTTACATACTGCTCCTCTTCAGCCCGATTGCCCCCCATTTGGGGTCCGCCCCCCCTTGCTGCAGCTTGTCCGGACCGTAGCTGACAGATACAACAACTGACAATCACATGTTTCACATCCTCGTGTTCGGACAACTCTCAGCTACAACATTATCCACTTCAATTTCAGTTCAACAGACCCAGGTTCAAACAACAAACCACAATCTGACAAATTGTCATAAAGCACATGTCGAATCAAATGTTTGCTTTGGCGTCACAAGCGCCCTCAAAACAATAAGTAGCCCTGCTGTCAGCACACCATTAGAAAGCCCTCCCCGAGCTGAACACAATGCTATGAGGCTGGTAACGCTACCTCTAAAACTCGCTGACCAAGCCGCAGACGAATGCCAGAAAACAAAGCAGTAAAACATCAGCGTTGAAGTAAAAGTCAACTTACTTTTGCTGTTTTTTCATCACAAGTCATTTCCATAGGAATAAAAGTCAGTTTTTTCTTGTATTCAACCTCATAGCGAGGCTTTCTAGCGATCTGGCAGATATCTGTTACTTCCTCCTTCTGTAAGAGGCCCTTTGTGATAGGCTGCACCCGTGCGTCATGTCACGTACCTCTGTGTATCTCTTCCTGTGATTGGCCACAGGTGCTGTCCATCAATACGTTTTCAATGGTTTTTGATAGCCAAAGGTGTCTTCTTTCCAAAATGGTATGACATGCCCTGATTGGCCAAAGTACCGCGGAGGCGTGTACATGCGTATAGTTGGGGCAGAAGGAGGCCGTGCGCAAACCCTTTACGCACGGCAGTACTCGGAATTTTGACGAAAGTAAAAGATGGCAAAACAGCGTTATACACGCGAGGAGGTTGTAGAGCTTCTTGCTAGGGAACCGGGTGCCAAAGTTTATCTCGATGACTCTACAGACATGTTTTGTGCCCTTTGGCACAATTTTGGCACAATTTTGGCACAGTTGGATTCCGCCTGGACTTTTTTTCCAATTCCATGTACAACTCTGCAGTGGTTTGTTTATTTGGCACATTTTTTGCTGGACTGGTCCAAAATATCGGGAACTGTCAATTTTTGTTCTTATTTGCTACACCACAGACAGGGAAAAAGCTTTTTTGAGGGAAAATATGTGTTGTTTTTTTTAGGCGGAAGTTAGAATTGTCTGTTTCAACCTCATTTTATTGTCAACCAATACAATTTATCATCTTTATTTCACTTCCACAGCAATCCCCAAGGTCCACCAGGTAATTTGGTACCAAGTTTGGCCACATATCTGGCTAAATACTATATGAAACCTTAGTAAATGTAGATTATAGCTTTTTCGGGAAAAAATGCCTCTGGGCTTAAGATGGATACTTTATTCAGGTGACCATCAGCAGCTGCAGCAGACAAACAGGCAACAGACATAAACATAAAATCATAAATAGTCAAATGTAATATAAACGTATAACTCAGGAATAAGCCTTAAACAGCGGACAACAGCAGCGATGAGGTCGTCTTTCCTGATGTGTGTAACAGCTGGATGTCCGGAGGCTGGAAGAGCTCCCTCTTGGCATCATGGGGCACCATGTGTCCTCAAACAGACACCAGGTGGAGGTGGAGCTCTGGAAAGACCAGATCAGAAGTCCTGACCTCCCTGACCAGGCTTCTGGTGATGGATCTCCATCACAGTCTGGTGCCTGTAGCGGTGAGGTTTCTTACTCGGCCTGTAGGGGGCGCTCCTGTGGTGCTTCCTCTGTGCCTTTTCTCTAGTGGATTTGTTCTTCTCTGCTCTGGATCAGTGTAAAACCTGACCACTGTTCAATCTACCAACATTTATTTGTATAGCACAATTTGTGTACAAAGCAATTGAAAGTACTTCACAAGAGCCATTAAAAACACAGGTCAAAATATGTTAATGTTGAAACTGCAGCATAAAAGTGTTAGGCTTAAAATAGGGGTTTGTCAGTTGTATGTGCAGCTAAATGCAGCCAGCGAAAATTCAATTTGGTAGACGTTAACCAAAATTACCCCCTCCAGGCAGGCTCGCATCCCCAGCCTATCGCTCAGCAGACGCCCCCTTCCAATCATCTGCACCGACTCGCCAGCCGCATAAAAACGGAGAAACTCACACTCTCTGCCTCCTGAAGCCTCGCAACCACCGCCTCCCCTCCTCCTCCTCTTCACCCTGCCTCCAATCTGCCTTCAATCTGCTTCCCGCTGCCAAATGCCGCCACCAGTGCCTAGGTCCCGGGGGATTGTGCGCGCTCCATCGCAGGAGCCTTTCCGATCTGAAGGCCGCACCGGGACCTAGGGCGCCAAACCTCCTTTCAATAAAATACTCAAAACTTCCTGTTTTCTCGTCTCTCCAAATTGAAATAGATTTGTCAAAAACCCAGTTTTGAACGTGGTCAGAGAAGATGGTTCCAAAATAACAAATTGGGCCCGTCCCAACACATAACAGTTTCTGCCGTTTCCAGCTAAACAAATCAAAACAACCCAAAGAACAACTACAAATTAAAAAACCTGGTAGCAGACGACCCATCTGAAAAAAACACACTTTTTACAAACAATTTGTTCTATCAAAATCCAAACCAAGCACTTTATGTACAGGCACATTTCAGCAAATCCCACACTATATCCCAGTTTTTTTTTCCCAGCTCAGTTTGGACAAAAAACTAAATATTTCTTTTGCCATAACTTCTCCTCTTCCAGCCCGTGACGTTTTCCCTTCATTTAATGTGCTGTTACAACAAACCACATTTCCACATTTGGGTCTGGCACTGGGCACAACACTTAGGGCTGACCGTCCCTGCCTTTTAATCATAAACAGACGCAATATTGTTTTGTGTCATTTATTTGTAACGCTCTGCTGTTTTAAGTGGATGGAAATGCCAAAGAAAACATTGTGTAACATGAGTTTAGGCCTCTAATCAACATGGGGACATACATAATGGAGCCTCTCTTCTCTGTTTCCACCTCCCACACCAGGTCAAGGCTTTATGCTGGCCTGAAGCGCCACATGTCTCTGATAGCACATGTCTCTGCTGGGGTTATTGTTGGGCAAGGAAGGATCTGACACAGAACATGGGATAGATATCATGCAGTTTGGAGGACACTAGCTGACCACATCACTGGACTGTCCCTGACCAGGCAGACAAGTTTATTTGTATTGCACAGTTCATACACAAGGCAACTCAAAGTGCAAAACAATCACACAAGACACTGAAATCACAAATAATCCCAGTGCTTTAAAAAAGAGTGAAGATGCAATCCTACAGTTGTATGCACAGCTACACAGAACTGTTTAGCTATCTTGATTTGAGCATTGTCAGAATGTTCCTGATTTTAGCTGTGTAAATCTGAAATTCCGCCTCCCCATGTTAAGTCTGTACACTGGGCACCAGCAGGAGACCAGTCCCTGTGCTCCTCAGAGTCCGAGTTGGTTCATTTGGTACTAACATGCCACAGATATACTTTGGTGTGAGGCCATGGAGAGATTTTTACACAAACAGAGCTGCTTTAAAGTCTATTCTCTGAGCCACAGGAGCCAGGGCAGAGACCTGAGGACTGGACTGATGTGATCGTACTTCCTGGTTCTAGTCAAGAATTGAGCTGCAGCATTTGAATATGCAGCTCGTTTGGAGTGAGCAGGCCGTTCTGTAGTCTGACCTACTAGAGAAACATGCATGGATAAGACCACATCACTGGACTGTTCCTGTATTTGAACTCTGGAGCTGTGTTTGTAACGTCCCCATGATGCACATATTTGAACTGACCACCCGGCAGCCCACCTGACACTTCTTATAAAGTGTAAATATCTTGACCTTTGTCTCAAAAGAGATGGTTTTGCCTCTGGAGGTTGATTTAGGGCAGTTTGAGAGTAACCTATTTCCCATGCAGTCTTGTTTTGGCCTGGCAGGTGCAGTAACAGGAGCTGAAAGAGGACACCCCAGACACAAACATCTCCATACTACGCCCCCCACAGCTCCACACAGCCCTACAGAGCTCCCTCTCTGGATTTCATTACCTGCCGCTTGGGAAGGATGGGGTCAGGGCCTTCTCTCTCTCACCAGGGGATCGATGAAAATAGGGGTGGGAACCTCACGATACGATACGATACACGATACAAAGCTCACGATAACGATATTATCACGATAACGATTTTATCACGTTATGACGATACGATATATTGGTCAGAAATATATAATATGCCAATTTATAAATGAAAGAAAAAATACACTTTATTTCATGATAAATGGAATGGAGATGTGCAATGTAGCCATATATTAAGTATTGATTCCAATTTTTTTTTTTTTTTTTCAAAATCGATATTGATACTTGGCAAATGCAAATCGATAATCGTATCGCACACCCTAGATGAAAGGGTCTATCACTTTCACAAAAGGCTTTTGAGATTGCAGCTTAGAGCTGGCATGTCCAAAGCTGGAGTTATTCAGCCAACTCCAGCTCGGTCACAGCTAATAATAAAGCTCAGAGCAGCCCAAATCCAGTCAAAACAGTTTTACAACCTGGCCTCTGGACAAGTCTGCTGAACTAAAGTAGCCCTCTTACATTAACTGGTCACAACATGATTTGATAAGAATGGATTAAGGTAAAGGTTAGTGTTAGGGTTAGTATTTTAAGGCACTCTGGTAAATTATCTATTTTGGAAATCAACGTGCGTCCCATCCACCCTATAAATTGGAGTCAAAATAATAAGTCCATAAGCACACGGAATGTGAACTATGACATTGATAAGACATACATACACTAGCCTGTACAGTAGGCCACAGAGTTCAAATAACTTTAAAAGTAGACTTTACCTCATTGCCTTTAGTGCTAATAGTGTAGTAGGTACTAATGATTCAACACCATTAACTTACTTTTATTTATTAGAATTTCTTGTTATCTGCCCTCCCTTGTTTGCTCAGTCAGAACAAGCCTGCAGCGTCTCTGTGGTTTTGTATAATGGTAAAATCATTGATCCGGGTTCAACACGCTCTGCTTCAGGCCACAGACTGTTCCAAGCTGGACGTGCAAATTAGTTAGTCATTATGGGAAATGTAATTAAAATAGCCCTATAACATTATGGGGCGACAGTGGCTCATTTGGTAGATCATTGGCCTTTGAGCCTGGAGGTCGTGGGTTCGAGCCCACCATAAGACCTTCTCCACTGACTTCCACTGATGTCTGTTGTCGTTGTGTCCTTGGGCAAGACACTTAACCCCACTTTGCCTGAATCCCCCGCTGAAAGATCAAGGCTCCTGTGGACTCACCACCTGCAGGAGGATCAGTGAGGGGCTGGTGCTCTGTGTACTGGGTGCAGCTCTGACTGCCACCCCTCGACCCAGAAATGGATTAAGGGGAAGAAAATGTATGTTTTAATTTAGTAAAGATAACGTGGGCTGTTGAGGCTGTTGCACTTAAGTAACGTCCCAGTTTCTTCTAATAAATGGGCTAATAAAGGAACCAATTAATTTAGAACAATTTAACCCTAATATCTACACCCTACATAGTTTGTAGAGACGGCTGTGAGCCGGTGAGAACCAGGCACTAAACCAGGACTGAAGTAGGTCCTGTCCTTAAATGATACTCGACCACGTGCAGTCAAAGAGAAGCATAACTGGACTCGGACGGATCGTACCATGGGTACTAGTAATTACATCACAAATACCATACTAATATGTATTTTGTAGGAAACTTTGCGTCTACTACCTAACTAGAGAGCACACAAGCTGATGCCCTATACCTAGCATGCTAATGTTGCTAATGGAAATGGCTTCTTTCGCTCTTTCACCGGAAATGCTACAACCGAACCTAGATGTGACAGATTATAAACTTGAACAGTGAACAAGCATGGTTCTATCATCCAAACTTTGCAATGACACCATTTTGAGCGGTGGGACACATGTATAGTGTTAATACAAGCAACTTGAGTGTTTGCATTAATTGCGGCAACATAAAGGGCCGCGATTAATGCAAACAGGACCAAAACCGCAAACCCTGGCTGCAGATTATCCTTCAAAAATCCTAACGTGCAGTCGACATTCACACATATTCTCAGACCTTTTAAGTATTTACAATTACAATGGCTCGACAGTGACTCATTTGGGAGAGCATTGGCCTTTGGGCCTGAAGGTTGTGGGTTCAAGCCATATATTAACGGACGTAGTCACGCCTATCTCCGCCGTTCTAACTAATGGGCCAAAAGTTGGGCTTTCATGGAGTGATTCAAAATGGCCGCTGGGGCTGGAAAATGTGAAAAAAGACATATAGCATCTTCTTACCTCTCAAACACGTCTTTACAGGATGGTCCAAAAGTTGGCTCTTGGCCCAAAGCTCCGTTCCAAATGTGTGTCAATGCTGAGGGGAGTACATTTTTTTGGACCATTCTAGTTTACTCGCTGTGAATTTTTGAAGTCACTCATGCGCAGATGCGACTATTTTGAATCACTACATGAGAGCCCAATTTTAGTTAGCACAGCGGAGATAGGCGTGACTACGTCCGTTAATATATACAGTCTATGAGCTGCGCATGCGTCAGCTGGCACAAGCCCCATTCATTTAAACAAGTGACTTCAAACATTCACAGCGAGTAAACTAGAATCGTCCAAAAAAATTCACTCCCCTCAGCATTGACACACATGTGGAACGAAGCTTTGGTCCAACTTTTGGATTCAACTTTTGGACCATCCTGTAAAGACGTTTTTGAGAGCTCAGAAGATACGTACATTTGCATTGAATAATTCCCTTTCCGGGTCCAGCCCTCTGGCTCGGTGTGGTATTGCAAGCATGTCAGCGCCCATCATTTTGGCCACTTTTGAGCCGGGACCCGCCCCCACTGGTTCAAGCCCACCAAGAGACCTTCTTCACAATTCGCACTGATATCTGCTGTCGTTGTGTCCTTGGGCAAGACACTTAACCCAACTTTGCCTGAAGCCCCCACTGAAAGATCAAGGCAGCTCAGACTAGAGAAGCCATTCTCCTGTGAACTCACCACCTGCAGGAGGATCAGTGAGGGGCAGGTGCTATGTGGATTGGGTGCAGCTCTGACTCCCACCCCCGACCCAGAAATGGATTAAGGGGAAGAAGATGGATGGATGTTTAACAGGACGTTACATTTATGTCTAAATTTGTCTTATCATATTCGTGATGGTGGTCAGGGCAGAAAATACGGATATGCAAGCCACTATAAAATGAATAAAAACTCTGCCCAGTTGAAACTTTGACCAAAGCCCATTCCATCAATCAGACTAAGTATTACACTCTTTAAAGTACAAATGATACAGTATTTGTATTGAAGTTGGTCCTTAAACATGATCTTGATAATGACCCTTGCTTTGAAAAAAAAAATTCACAACAAATCAGAATTGGACATGTTTATTGATGCATCTGGAGTGACCACATGAGCAGTGGTCTTTGGACCCGATCGTCTCCTTCTGCAACACAACAGGAGCACATGAGCTCACATCTGTCTTCAGTGTGAAAATGTGTTATATCATAGACTCTTTTGCACTCACAGCACTTGTAGAGAGAGTTGAGCCTCTTCTTGTCGGAGGCGCTCATCTCTCGAGCTCCGCCCAGGTGCACGTTGGAGTTGGGGATGGGCACCATGGTGGGCTGGCCATTCTTGGAGAAAGCAGTCCTGTACAAATGTAAGAGTCAGTCTCAGAGAAGGAAGATTCAGAGTAGAGTAGAGTAAAGTGGAGTAGGGCCAAGTACGGCTGTTGGCGATGGGGCTAATGGCTCAAATGTGAAGGAGGTGATTATGAAAATGGCCTCACCTGTGGTACTGCATGACGGAGCCGTAGTCGTAAGAGGTGCCCTGGTTCAGAGTGGTGATCTTCCTGAAGTTGTGCTCCATTCCTGTCATCACATTTCAACATCATGTCTTCGCAAACTCAATAAAACTGTTCTAATGAAGACGAAAGCTGTAACTGAAAATCCAAACACTAATTCTATAACCTAAAGTAGAAGGCTGTGATGGAAGTGTATGAGTTGTAATGGTATCTACAAATGTCTTCTATGCTGGAGTAAAGCAGTGATTTCAGCATTTAATATGGTAAAACATTATCGGAGGCTCTGTATGGGGAGTCAGACTGGGAGGACACACACAGCGAGGACAGACACTGGGGGGTCAGACTGGGAGGAGACACTCTGGGAGGACAGATACTGGAAGGACGGATTGGGAGCACACACACTGGGTACTCCTACACACTGGGAGGACACACACTGGAAGACACACTGGGAGGTAGGGGTGGGAACCTCAGGGTACCTCACGAAACGCGTTACAAAGCTCACGATAACGATTATATCACGATATGACGATTATCGATATATTGGTCAGAAATATACTGTTGTAAAAATCTTTTAGTAAAGCAATCTGAATAAACACGAAATATTTGTAAGTGCAAGTTATTAGCTAATTCTCAACTCTGGATTCAAATACAGTACATATTGGCATAAATAAAAGAAAAATGTTAAGTGAAAAAATACACTTTATTTCATGATAAATGGAATGGAGATGCGAATTGGCCATATATTAAGTATTGATACTAATTTTAAAAAATTGATTTTTTTTATTTCTTGAGAAAGTATCACGATACATCACAATATCGATATATTGTCACACTCCTACTGGGAGGACACACAATGGGGGAACACACACAGGGAGTACACACACTCAGGTGAACAGACTGGGAGGACAGATACACATGAATTAGTTTAGACAACTTGGATCTCGTACCCAGTTTTGTTCCATTTTTCTAATCACTGGACCCCAAATAAGACCATCAACATCCAGTCTTTTTCACTTGATAGCATTTTCGGGACATGTTACGTTACCAGAGACGACGTTCTGCAGCAGGACTTTAATGTGGCTGTCACGGTCGGAGCGTGTCTGCTCGTGGTTGAAGCCCAGAGCGTGGAGCAGCTCGTGCTGGACGGTGTTGTGGTACAGACATCCCCGGCGAGCCAGAGACACCTCCTGCTTTCCCCCACGGCGACCCACGAACGACCAGCACCTGCACAAAGAGATCTCAGCTTTCTTTTCCATCCATCCATCCATCCATCCATTTTCTTCCGCTTTATCCGTTGTCGGGTCGCGGGGGCAGCAGTCTAAGCAGAGACGCCCAGACTTCCCTATCCACACACACTTCCTCCAGCTCGTCCGGGGGGACCCCAAGGCGTTCCCAGGCCAGCTGAGAGACATAGTCCCTCCAGCGTGTCCTAGGTCTTCCGCGGGGCCTCCTCCCGGTGGGACGTGCCCGGAACACCTCCCCAGGGAGGCGTCCAGGAGGCATCCGGAACAGATGCCCGAGCCACCTCAACTGGTTCCTCTCGACGTGGAGAAGCAGCGGCTCTACTCCGAGCTCCTCCCGTGTGACTGAGCTCCTCACCCTATCTCTAAGGGAGCGCCCAGCCACTCTGCGGAGGAAGCTCATTTCGGCCGCTTGTATCCGCGCTCTCGTTCTTTCTGTCATTACCCAAAGTTCATGACCATAGGTGAGGGAGGGAACGAAGATTGACCGGTAAATTGAGAGCTTTGCCTTTCGGCTCAGCTCCCTCTTTACCACAACGGTCCGATACAGCGACCGCATCACTGCGCACGCTGCACCGATCCGCCTGTCAATCTCACGCTCCATTCTTCCCTCACTCGTGAACAAGACCCCGAGATACTTGAACTCCTCCACTTGAGAAAGGACCTCTCCACCCACCTACAGAGGGCAAGGCACCTTTTTCCGGTCGAGCACCATGGCCTCGGATTTGGAGGTGCTGATTCTCATCCCAGCCGCTTCACACTCGGCTGCAAACCGCCCCAGTGCATGTTGCAGGTCCTGGTTCGTTGGAGCCAACAGGACAACATCGTCCGCAAACAGCAGAGATGAAATCCTGTGGTCTCCGAACCGGACCCCCTCCGACCCCTGGCTGCGCCTAGATATTCTGTCCATAAATACAGTGAACAGAACCGGTGACAAAGGGCAGCCCTGTCGGAGGCCAACATTCACCGGGAACAGGTCTGACTTACTGCCGGCAATGCGAACACAGCTCTGGCTCCGGTTATACAGGGATCGGATGGCCCTCAGCAGAGGACCCCCGACCCCGTACTCCCGGAGAACCCCCCAAAGGACACCCCGGGGAACACAGTCGAACGCCTTCTCCAAATCCACAAAACACATGTGGACAGGTTGGGCGAACTCCCATGAACCCTCGAGTATCCGATGGAGAGTATAGAGCTGGTCCAGTGTTCCGCGACCGGGACGAAAACCACACTGCTCCTCCTGGATCCGAGATTCGACCATCGGCCGTAACCTCCTCTCCAGTACCCTGGAGTAGACCTTACCGGGGAGGCTGAGGAGTGTGATCCCACGATAATTGGAACACACCCTCCGGTCCCCCTTCTTGTAGAGAGGGACCACCACCCCGGTCTGCCACTCCATTGGCACTGCCCCCGATCGCCACGCGATGTTGCAGAGACGTGTCAGCCAAGACAGTCCTACAACATCCAGAGACTTTAGATAATCAGGGCGGATCTCATCCACACCCGGAGCCTTGCCACCATGGAGGCTACCAACCACCTTGGTGACCTCAGCCAGGGAGATGGATGTATCCGCCTCAACATCCTCAGCCTCTGCCTCTGTAACAGAGGACGTGACGGGGGGATTGAGGAGAACCTCAAAGTATTCCTTCCACCGCCCGACAATATCCCCAGTCGAGGTCAGCAGCTCTCCACCCGCACCGTACATGGTGTTGGCAAAGAACTGCTTCCCCCTCCTGAGGCGCCGGATGGTTTGCCAGAATCTCTTCGAGGCCGACCGATAGTCATGCTCCATGGACTCTCCGAACTCCTCCCAGTCCCGGGTTTTTGCCTCTGCAACAGCCCGGGCCGCGGCACGCTTGGCCTGCCGGTACTGGACAGCTGCCTCAGGAGTCCCCCGAACCATCATGGCTCGATAGGACTCTTTCTTCAGCCTGACAGCATCCCTTACTGCCGGTGTCCACCACCGGGTTCGGGGGTTGCCGCCGGGACCAGCACCAGAGACCTTGCGACCACAGCTACGAGCCGCCGCATCGGCGATTGAGGCAGAGAACATGGTCCACTCGGACTCCATGTCCCCCTCCTCCGCCGGGACCTGGGAGAAACTCTCCCGGAGGTGCGAGTTGAAAGTCCGTCTGACAGGGGGCTCAGCGAGACGTTCCCAGCAAACCCTCACTATACGCTTGGGTCTGCCAGGTCTGACCGGCTTCTTCCCCTGCCAGCGGATCCAACTCACGACCAGGTGATGATCGGTTGACAGCTCCGCCCCTCTCTTTACCCGAGTGTCCGAGACACGCGGTCGAAGGTCAGATGATACGACAACAAAGTCGATCATCAACCTCCGGCCTAGGGTGTCCTGGTGCCACGTGCACTGGTGGACACCCTTGTGCTCGAACATGGTGTTCGTGATGGACAAACTGTGACTGGCACAGAAGTCCAACAACTGAACACCGCTCGGGTTCAGATCAGGGGGGCCGTTCTTTCCGATCACCCCTCTCCAAGTGTCACTGGCGACTCCCACATGGGCGTTGAAGTCCCCCAGGAGAATAACGGAGTCCCCGGGCGGTGCACCGTCCAGTACCCCTCCCAAGGACTCCAAGAAGGCCGGGTACTCTGCACTGCTGTTAGGCCCGTAGGCCGTCACAACAAATGAGAGACTTGTCCCCCACCCGGAGGCGGAGGGACGCGACCCTCTCATTCACCGGGGAGAACTCCAACACATGGCGGCTGAGATGGGGGGCAATGAGAATGGCCACCCCAGCTCGCCGCCTCTCCCCGCGGGAAACTCCAGAAAAGTGGAGCGTCCAACCCCTCTCAAGGAGTTGGGTTCCAGAGCCCAAGCTGTGTGTGGAGGTGAGGCCGACTATCTCTAGTCGGTATCGCTCAACCTCCCCCACGAGCTCGGGCTCCTTCCCCCCCAGTGAGGTGACGTTCCACGTCCCAAGAGCCAGATGTTGTGTGTGCGGACTGGGTCGCCGAGGTCTCTGCCTTCGACTGCCGCCCAGTCCTCTCAGCACCGCGCCACCACGGACCCCTCTGCAGGTGGTGGGCCCACAGGAGGGACTGCCCACGTCATCCCTTCGGGCTGGGCCCGGCCGGGCCCCGTGGGCTAAGGCCCGGCCACCAGGCGCTCGCATACGAGCCCCGACCCCAGGCCTGGCTCCAGGGTGGGGCCCCGGCTGCGCCATGCCGGGCGACGTCACTGCTGTCATTATAGTGCGATCCAGCTTTCATTTCATGTCACATTTATGCACAAGAGCGCTGTTTGTTGTAAGAAAACTACATGAGAAAACATGCTACTGAATGATCTTGCAGCTAGATTGTATATTAGGAGTGGACTGATTGAGTGTGACATCACCAGTGTAAGCCTTAATGCGGAAGAAGCTGATTAGAAAAATGTTGTTACATGGACATTTGTTTTGATGACGTTAGCTTTGCACCGTAACTTAGGCGTGTTGCTAACATGGTTGCTAAGACAAGCTCCCCCCCGTGAAAGAAGGCATCTGATTGGTCAAACCTTAAAAAAAGAGCTCTAAACCACAGACTTTTTTAAAGCCCATAATGATGAATGTGACACAAACTGAGCTAGAGAAGTTTACTTTAACATGTAAGTCAATAGAAGCCAGAGCCAGTTGGAGCAAACTTTGTCCATGAGCACTTTCCTACTGAGCTTCATTGAGCTTGGGGGTTAGCAATGTCCTTCTGTGTACAGTCTATGGGTGCGTTTCAGTTTTACCCGTCTTTGGACTCGATGCTCAGCCAGTCACGATCTGAGCTTCTGCTGGGTCTGAAGCGAATGCAGGAGAAGGAAGAGAAGGACTCCAGGCCACGAGTGATGATGGACTTTTCCCTCAAGGCTGGAGCACAGAAACAGAAACATTGTTACGTTTATAGTACGTCAATGAAATTAGTCTATAACTTTTATTGACATACCTGGACAGTGGTCAACCCGCTCCTTATGGACCAAATCCTATCTATTTTAACAATAATATACCTACCAGTATGTGATTGAGTCAGAATGATAAGGACGTAAACTCATAACTACAGCATAATCATATACAAAGAAGTCTTGTGTATTTCCCTGCACTTCCCCGGGTCTTTCTGCTGTTCTCATAAACACACTGAAGCAGGAATATGTGCTACATTATCAGCTCTGGAGATCACCAGCTGTAGATAGCTTCTTCTCAGTAGATTATATTATTTTTGGTATATAGCTCACTCCACACTAAACTGTACCAATGTGTTACATTTGTGTCAATACACAAAAAAGTCCTGAAATGTCTTCGGCTGTTACTGTCAAATAAAAAACTATGCATTTTTATGACCGACCACCGAGCCTCATTAACCGGTTGAAACCGGTTAACCGCGTAGTTTAAAATATTCCACGTTCTTTGAAATAACAGCCATTTCGAGCCGCGTACTTCTCATAAGTGTATCTATGCGTTCTACTGGATCAGAGCCGAGACAGCGGCGCCAAAACCCGCAACAGCTTCGGCACCTTTGTGCACAGAGAACTGCTTTTTTAATCTTCCCATTCTTCTGTTCTGCGGGTTAAAACCAAAACTTTTTTCAGCAGCAAACAACGGCTCGTTCACATGGTCAGACCAGCGAGTGACGAGCCGCGTCTCACAGGTCTTCGCTAAAGTGTGTACAAGTGATGTGTGTGGAGCTGATCTAATGACAAGGACCATGAGCACAAACATGTTCCATGTGGTTTGACTGGAGCCGTGTATTTGCGAGGATCCTTTGGGCTCCGTGACACAGAGGAGCGTGACAGACCGGTATGTGTGTGTGTACAATACATGTATGTGTGTGTAAATGTAAGCTCCAATGTAGTTCTGACCCGTGCCAGTGTGTAACTTTGGCGGTAACAGAGGAGAGAGATGATGCGTGTGGATGGAGGGGGGGGGAAAGTGTGTGTGTGCGCACGTGTGTGCGTGTGTGCGTGCATATGTGCCGCGTGGGCCGTGAGAGTCGGCCCGGAGTTTACTGATACATTGGCGCACACAGCTAGAGACGGACCCGCTCGTCACATCGTGCGAATAGGGCTTAAAATAGCGTTATTAAGAGACCTCCCTTCTCCCCCTTTTCTTTTTTTTAACCACAGCTTTGACCGGTTAACGCTGTGACGGCCAACCACCGGTTAAACGGTCACCAATTTACATCCCTAGTTCACAGCACCTACTCTTGTTTTGTTCCAGCTCATTTGTCCAGTGAAGGGGGCACTATTTAAACACCGATTTGTTCACACCCGTACTATTAACAGCGCTCCAGACAGCCGTTTTGGACATGACAACAAGTGTTACGTCCAAAACAGCCAGTTTGTCTGCAGTTATTGAATAATTTTGTTTGTATAATGCATAATCTATAATTAGAGATTGATTATAGTTATATCCCCAACCACTAGCCATTAAATAGTCTTCCTTGTCCTGTTAAGTTTTCCATTCACAAAGCCTCCAGCATGACATGTCCTGTATGTAACAATTGTGTCACCAAAGTTCAATGCATTTTTTGAAAGGCATCCATTTTTCTTGAAATGGTTTTGATCTGCCATCTGAGAAATCTATAAGCTACATAGTATTAAATAATTATTAGGTACAAACATTTTTGGTTCGTACGTCAATTTTTTTGCCGCTTGAAGTACGATTGACGCATTGTACAGTTTAGTGTGGAGTGAGCCATATTTGAAAACACACTGGCCGCATAGAACTTGGAAAAAGTTGGGGCTTGTAGTTTTGCGAGTACGGAATATTGGTCTTTAGGCTGATTCCCGGATGAGTTCAGTGTGTGTGGTGTAAAGGCTTACAAAAGTGGTTGGTGATGTAGTAGGGGACGTAGACTTTTCCGTCGGTAAATTTGCCCTACTTGCAGCTTCTGGAGGTGCAGGGATCAGCGTTCCTCTCGACCTCATTTTTGATGGCGATGTCCATCTCAATGAGCTGGGGATCATCCACACGACGCACTGGAGCCGGGAGGAAAGAAAAGCTAAAGTTAATTTAAGCTTTATTCCAATTGGGTTTGTTGGATACCATTGAAATATTATTTTCCCCAAGAGCTTAGAAATGTGTAATGCAGTTTTAAATGGGGTATTTCATTATATGACACTAGTTTTATTAAAAGTAAGACACTTACACGTGTGTTTAATTTGTGCTTAGTCAATTGGTTAAAGGTGTATTGGAGGATTTTCTTCTTCCTGGTGGATCATCACAACTATTGGTCCGCCTAATTGTCAATCATTCCAGTGATACATGCTCGTCAAATAAGACCAGAGAGTTTTGTTCAAAAAGTGAAGAGGGCGGTTTTTTCCTAAAATTTGGGAAAATACTCCTATATACCTTTTAATATAACTATAAATCCAGCAAAAAACAGTTGAAAGGCTACCCAATACTAACTGCGGACAATAAACAGTGTGTTGCTATGGTAACTGAACCAGCACTTTGGAGAAACAGGGCATTTACTGCCATAGAATGTGACCAAAAATGGCTTACATTCAAATGAATAGAGCTAAAAGTAGAACTAAACTTTAAACTTTATAAAAACACAATGACAGCACAATCAAAGAGCACTGTTGTGTCCCAAAAATGCCCAGTATCCTCATTTGGGAAACTCGTGTAAACCACTGCTGAACTCCAGGGAAACTCAAGCTGTTTCCCGCGAACAGGAAGTGAGGTGGGTTTGTAGCTAAAACCCGGAAGTGGTGCGTGCATAGAGCCTATTGGCTACTCAGGGAGATCTACAGTAGAGTTAAAGAAGGCTCTTGTGATCAGTGTGAGTGGGGTTAACATCTTACCAATGTTCACGTTGGCTTTCTCAATGATTTCAGATGCAGAAAGCTCTGCAGAGAAAGAACATTGAATATTAAGTATATATCAGATGGATCTGTATCATGGGCCTGTGTCACAGTTAAAGACACATACCTGACTGCTTGTCCAAAAGAGAGTTTGACACCAACAAACATGAAGAAGAGAGGAAAAGATTAGTTAAATGGCACCAATCTTTAACTGTGAGCAGTGGTGTAAGATGTATGTAACATTGACTATAGCTGTTTTTAACTTATTGTTTCAAATGTTTATTAGTAGGATGTTAAACTATCATGGGTGTTAAGATCTTTGATTAATGCTCTCTACCAATAAAGTTGGATTGTGTTGGATTTCAATCCAATTACAAATTGCATCCACTAGATCTTGCTGCTATTAGGGTTAGGGTTAATACTCTTTTAGGGTTTGACTGGAAATTACCAGCGCCCACCAGTCTGTCTGTTTGTTTGTTTTTGAGAAACAAACATCTGAGGATTAAGATTGCATTTTGCACAATGGCCCATAATTCCTTTGTGCTCTGTCTGGAGGCAGGATTTATTTTCTTAAAGGAATAGAACTGCACCTCTAGGTGGAGGTCTGCGCTCTATGACTGCTATTCAAGTTGGTATTAAGGTGATATTTCTATGAATTGAATTGTGACAGAATAAAGAGCCCAACACCACAGATTTTTTAATCCCAAAATGGTGAGTGCGACACAAACGGTTACTGTGTTAGAGGAGTTTACTTTTCAATGTAAGTCAATACGAGCCAAAGTGAGTTGGAGCAAAACTTCATCCATGAGCACTTCCCTCTTGGGCTTCATTGAGCTAGGGGGTTAAGTATTGTCTATCTATATGCAGTCTACGCAAACAGCAAGAATAATCAAGATACTGCAGTCTTTTAGCCCTGAAATAGCTCTTCCTGGGTATTGGTAGAACAACTAACAAAGAGGCCCTTTCATATTTTCCCATCCATAATTATTATATACATTGCAATTGTTGCGTGGGAGAAACATCTCACCTCTTCAGCGCAGCAGTAGGCTGAGAGGAGCAGCAGAGCCAGGACAGAAAACTTGTAGGGAGCCATGTTGGAGACCTGTGGACAAATGAAGAAGAGTGGTGTTTCTTTAGCCAAATAGATGACTATTCAAATCTAGAGGTCAAAACCAGACCATATACAAAATAAAGAACTAATAACACCATTTTAATTGTCCTTCAGAGATAAATAAAGTTATTGAGTTGTATTTTAAACATGCCTTGACGCCATCATTTTTCTTTTACAGGACAGGACATTTTTGACAACTAAAACTAACACTTTCGACAAATGTCAACAGGTTAAACCTAAAATTCAAAATCCTGTCAGTATATGAGCACTGGCCCTCTGACCCTACCAGTAGCTTACCGTGAAGAAGCCGCACACACTCCCACACTGCAATCTCTGGCCTTTTATACCCGCGGCTCCGAGCTCCACATGCATGAGCCGATTACAGGTGGGAAAATGTACACAAAATGCAGCTGATGGTACACACATGTCAGCATTCATGAGAAGGTCACACTGCACACTGCCACATATGTCTGTGGAGGACACGCCACATGTTAAATGTTCATGTACAGTGGAGTCATGCCAGAGAAGATAAGACTAGCTTCATCAGTTCTTTTAAATCACTTCTTAATGTCCTTTAAATTCCATGTTTTGTTTTACTTTTCACTTTTACAATTCATGGACATTGATTATCTGCCCCTTATGGACCATTGGCTCTATGAGTTTTTCAATCATTGCATTTCCTGTGTTTTAGCTGTCCGATTCTCTGCTCTGTGTTGACAAATCGACAAATAACAGCTGCTACATTGAATTGTTTCTCTGGTTTATCTGTTGTCTATGAATTTTGTAAAGTTCTCAGTTTACGAAGTTTTCTGATTTAGAGCAGGTCTTTCAAACCTGTGAAAGACCTGGTTCTGCGGTGGAGGCGTGTTTTTGATTCATGGAAGTTCCCATAGGGTTCCAATGTGTATTTCTGTTTCCGCAAGTGACTGCAAACATGGCAACCCACTTCCTCATAGCTGGGATTGGACAGCCAACCACTTTAATGTTAGAAAAGTCTCTGTTTTTCCTGTCTTCGGCCACTAGACTGGGGGCAATCCTGATTCCTGACCCACTTCCACTGCACTGATGTCACAAATGCATTGACTTGTTTTTTTTTCGTTAGCGCAGCTTTGGAGTGACGGCAGTGGGAAGCACGCACTGACACTCCATCAAACATCCGCCTGTCTATTCTTCACACTGCTTTGTTCTCTTCGCACTGTAACAATCGCATCTCTCTGCAGCCTGCTGCTGTTATCTTTTATAATAGGGACAAAACATGCAAAAGGGACATTTCACATGCAGATTTCAATCATGTTTAGGTTTTTTTCCTGGTCATTTACATATTTAGAGTGTTTCTTGCATTTACAAACATGAAAATAATCTGCCAACATAAGCGGTCATTAATAGATCGATCGGCTGGAGTCTTGTGACAATTTCAAAGGCGTCTCGTCTCATATATTTGAGTTTCACTGTGGCTCAATCGCAGCAGCAGTCCATCCATCCATCCATTTTCTACCCTTTAATCCATTTCTGGGTCAGGGGGGTGGCAGTCAGAGATGCCACCCAAGTCTCATAGCACCAGCCCCGCAGCAGCAGTCATTTAATTCTTATTATTTTATTATTTTATTCTATTATCTATTATCTTAAAAAATAGATCTTGTTTGATGAGTACTCTTATTTCTCCCAGTATTCTGCTGTAATGTGCGCAACAATTACATTGAAATTTCCCCACTGAGGAATGAATAAAGGTTTATTTTATCTATCTCTCTGTTTGGAAGTGGCCTACTGTATATCCATTCATCCATTTTCCTCCACTTTATCCGTCTCTGGGTCATGGGGGCAGCAGTCTGAGCAGAGACACTCCCTCTCTACACACACTTCCCCAGCTCACCCGGAGGAATCCATGGTGGGACATGCCTGGAATACCTTCCGAGGGAAGCTTTCAGGAGGAAGCAGATGCCCGAGTAAACGGGATCCTCTCCACGTTGAGAAGGGAGCCCCCAGCCCCTCTGCGGAGGACACTCATGTGGGCCGCTTGTATCCACGATCTCGTCCTTTCTGTCATTACACAAAGCTCATGACCAGAGGTGAGGGAGGGAAAGTAAACTGAGCGTTAACTCGAGAACTTTGCCTTAGGAGTGGCTTATATGTGTGTACAAATACATACATTTCTAATATAAGACGGCTTTTCCCAATGTTCTTAAATGCATCTTAAATGCCTTGTCTCAGTAGAATCCGGGCCACATCGCTACAAATGATTTGATTCAGATACAAAAATCAAACCGTTTTTTCACACCTGAACCCTAAGTTTATTTACAAAAGAAGAAACATGATATTAAAGAAAAAACAAAACAATTTGCACAGCTTTACTTGCGTCTGAGTGATCTGACTTCACTAGTGCTTTTAAACTGCTGACTTATCCTCTTACTACTACTACTATTGTTAGCTACTATTAGAATTATCCATTTATTTGTTTTCTTTGTATGGATGGATGTGTTTCTGCTGCTACTGGACACTTGAATTTCTCTTAAGCGGACCGAAAAAGTATCTATCTGTCTTACACCCGGCTTCCCCCTGGCTCCTTTGACCAGGACCAGTGCCACATGCCAAGTACTTTGTTCAGTGATGTTAATTTTAGAATCTGTGATATGTGGACAATTCAGCAGGCACTTTTGATTATTCAGAAGGCATCTTAGATGCCTTCTGATGTGCTCCCTTCGGTTAAAACCAGAGAGAAGTCTGGCTGCTAATCATTGTCCCTGTCAAATAAATAAATACATACATTCAATATTCAAACTGAGCATGAAGTACTTTGCAGTGGTCTCAGTCAAAGTCAAAGTATCAGTGTTCCATCAGCACCACACCACGTCCCCTCCTCTCTGTGACCCCAGAATGTACTTTTCAGCATTCCCCAGCAGCAACAGCTCGTAGCGAAGTGAGATTTTCCTCCAGATCTCCAGTCTTTAAAGCCCCCGCTTGGAATGAACACAAAAATGTAGCTTGGAGGTGCCAGTCAGACGTAGTGGTTTTGTTGTGTTCTGTGGAGCTGTGAATGTGAAGTTAACAGCCAAACTCTGAAATAAAACTGACAAAGTTGTGGAACTGATTAAAACCTTGCAACATTTACAGCCAGTGAAATCAGATTACTCAATGATAAATCTGATATTGCTGTTATGTCGTCATTGATATAGAACCTTTTCTGTATGTTGCAGAAAAATACTTGTCCATCCATCATCCATCCATTTTCTACCCCTTAATCCATTTCTGGGTTGGGAGGGTGGCAATTAGGGATGCCACCCAGTTCACATAGCACCAGCCCCTCACTGATCCTCCTGCAGGGGGTGAGTCCACAGGAGGAAATGCTTAATTGTCTCCATTGGGAAATTTGTCCTCAGCATTTGAACCGTCCTCCATTGCCGCTAGGGCCTCAGGCAGGAGCAGTCATTGCCGTTGTACAGCGTGCTAACCACTCAGCCACTGTTTCCAAAATAGTACTAATGGAGAGGAATGGCCTCTCTGATATCACCAAGTCTTTTATAGTCCAGGATCATTGATAAAATGTATTTAGACTCATAACCCTAACCCGGGTCCTATCCCAAGTGCTGACACTAGTTCTTGGCCTAGTTCTGACCCGAGTCCTAACCCTAGCTCTAGAGTTGGTTCACATGGCACCAAAATGTCACAGACTTTTTACTGATGTACTATTCTCTGAGCCACAGGAAGCCAGTGCAGAGACCTGAGACCAGGACTAACGAGATCCTACTTTCTTGTTAGTCATAACACGAGCTGCGGCATTTTGAACATACTGCAGCTGTTTTACAACTCGTTTGGAAAGCCCAGTGAGCAGGAAATGCAGGATAAGAATCTCCAAGTCTGATTTAGACACTATATCTTTTAATCTGACATTTTTTTCACATGGGAAAAAGCTGCTGATGTGAGCCTTGCATGTGAAATGTAAGCCTTAGTCCATTACTACTCCTCGTGCTTCAAACACGACTGTATATGCGTGCTCTATTCTCAACCGGTATTATACAGTGATGCAGGCTTAATGAGGCCCTTTGTCCTCTGCTCTTTCATGCTCATGTAAGTGTCCGTGTGTTTGGCATTCAGCTTTTGTCTTTATTATATGAGCTTTAGAGTAGATTGATATCACAGAGGACCATCATGAGAGCTGTTATTCTGCTGCTTTGTACAGAAGTGCTGCTTTTCACAATTGTTAACTTTCCAAAAGCAAAATGTGTGATTTTAGCAACAATTATATGCAAGTTCTGTAAACTCACATTTCAATTCAATATCATTGCATAGATATGATATATGTCAATACATATTTTTGACAAATAAAAGCACAATGTGTCTTCTTAAAATAATTAATCCACTGTTGTGTGTTTGTGGGTGCGCTTGTGTGTGTGTGCGTGTGTGTGTGTGTTTGTGTGCAGCAGACCTCTCCAGCATGTGTGAGTTGGATGTGTCCTCAGAACCCGCCAGTCCGACTCTGATCGGAGAGTCCTCAGACCAGTACTACACTGTGGACCGCTGGCAGAAGCTACGCACTGCAGTCCGCAAACTGGAATTCTGGGAAAACTTCTCCGCAGAGCTCATCGGCACCGGCTTCTTCTCCAAAGTCTACAAGGTCAGTTCCAGCTGGCGCAACCATGAACTTCTGTATGTCACAAATGATAGTCTTACATTAGCGTTATTACCACTGAGCAAAAACACAACAATCGAACCGAACTGACTGTTTTCTTGGCCTCTGCTACATGTGCTCAGGGAAAAGTAAAATATTATGAACAAATAGAACTGTCTTTATTTGTAATAATTAATTGGACCTCACATTCATATGTTTAAAGAATCAATCCACATCAACTATTGACCAGAAAATGCAAAATTACATTACATGTTGACCTTGCGTCTGGGGAAACATAAAAGATCACATTTGTAAACTATTACAAACAGTCCCTTTAAAGGACAACTAAACACCAAATGAAACTTTTTTTTCGCTCATGAACTGAATAAACATGTTTCTTATAGTGCTCTCTACATGTCCTGGTCAATTTTGACATTTTAGTGCAAATGAGATACAATGTCACTTTTGAGCCTGAAACCGTCTGTGTGGCGCCCTCTCGACATTTTTGGGTTCCTGGTCTCTCTATTGGCTCTGGAGTGCTGTCACTTTGTGCTGTTTGACGTCGTCATTCTGAGCCTGTGGAATAAAACCATCCAAGTCTCACACCCCCCAGTAGCGTGGAGTATTCTGGTGACATCTAGTGGTTTAAAATTAAATGATATCAGTTGACCGCCACTACTGCTGAGATAATTCTGTGGCTTAGGTTCAGCTGTGTTGCTCTACAATCATCTCAGTGTGTGTAAACAAGGATGGAATGAGAATGTCTGGTGTGTAAATTATTGGTTTAAGCCAGTAATGACAACTGTCTGATTTTTTTGTGTGTGGGTTGTGTCTGACAGCTCGCTTCTCAGTCACCGCCCAGACCACGCCCAACTCTAAGCCCCCCTTCTCCTCCCCTGGTCCTCCGGGCAACACCCTTTTTAGAGAGAATTTTCAAATGTTCATGTGGGCAGAACATTTTTCCTTTTAAAGAGTGCTGTCTTTGGCCTGCTCAACACTTTTACTTTTCTTTAGTAATTAAGTAAGTAAGTAATCTTTATTTATATACCGCCTTTCACAGACCAGAGTCACAAAGCGGTTTATTTGTTATTTTTTTGGGCATTTGTCCTCTCACTCCTCACAGAGATGGGAGCGGGGTCACCATCACATGAGGCGTAAAAAAATTGCGTAAAAATCTGCTCCAAGCTTTTTTATTCTTTGTGGCAATAATTGTTAAATACCGTATGATGCAAAGTTGCCATTCAGTATTGAAATACGTCTGTCTCGTGTGTGCGCAGGTGGTTCACAGCAGCAGCCGGAAAGTGATGGTGGTGAAGATCTACAAGAACGATGTGGACCAGGACAGCATCGTGCGAGAGATCAGCCTCTTGCAGAAGCTCTCCCACCCAAATATTGTCAGGTATCACCACCCCAGACCACCTAGACCCTCCAGACCATATAGACCCTCCAGATCCCACCAGACCCCTTGACCAAGCACACCCACCAGACCCTCCAAACCTCCTGACCCACCAGACCTTGAGTCCAGAACCTCTAGACCACATTATTTTAATTGTTCTGCTTTTAACTTGCAGCTATTATAAATACATACATCATTGGCCAATTCAGAAAATAATCTTCAAACTCTTTAATTCATTCTTTTGTCCAAATACCCTCAGAATGTACACTTTTATACTTTATGCCCCAGGGAGCTATTTTAAATCCAGCCTCCAACAAAAATATGTCTGACACCCCTACTCAAGACCCTCCTGACCTTCTGAAAATGAATGGCTTTACAAACTACTCTGTACATTTTTCATAACATAGGCAAATATCTTTCTCTGTGTTTTTCAAAAGAGTGTTTTTTGTTTTTTTCTCTTTGCTTCACTTTCTCCATATTTCACTCTCCTTGTTCCTGCAGGTACCTGGGAATCTGTGTCAAAGAGGACAAACTGTATCCAATCCTTGAGGTGGGTCTTCACACTCTCCTCATCTCACGGTCCAGACTTGACACATGTGATTGGTAGTTCACACATAATAATAATAATAATAATATACATTTGATTTAAAAGCGCCTTTTAAAACACCCAAAGACACAGTGCGCAATAAAAAATGAAAAAAACCTTAGCATTATTAAAAACAATTAAAACAGCCAAACTGGACGAAGGTGTTTGGGGGGAGGTGTTGGTTGTGGGAAAAGAAAGTCTGAAAAGGTGAGTTTTGAGTCTAGAGTTGAGCAGGGGAAGAGAGTTGGTGTTGTGGAGGTCAGGGCGGAGGGAGGTCCAGGCGGGGAGCAGAGCGGCTCAAGTCTCTACCCCCCATGGTGACGAGGAGGAGAGAGGGGAAAGAGAGTAGGAGAGAGGAAGAGAGAAGAGTAGAGGAGAGGGGAGAGAGAGGAGGACAGAGGGGACAGAGAGGAGTAGAGAGGGGAGAATAGGACAGAGAGAAGAAGAGAGGGCAGAAGAGGACAGAGAGGAGTAGAGAAGAGGGGAGAGAGAGGAGTAGAGAGGGGAGAAGAGGACAGAGAGAAGAAGAGAGGAGGAGAGAGTGGAGAAGAGGACAGAGGAGTAGAGAGGAGGATAGGAGAGGGGAGAGAGGGGACAGAGTTGAGGAGAGAGGGCCGAAGAGGACAGAGAGAAGGAGCGAAGACGAGAGGAGTGGGGAGAGAGGAGGACAGAGGGGACAGAGAGGAGTAGAGAGGGGAGAATAGGACAGAGAGGAGAAGAGAGGAGGATAGAGGGGAGAGAGGAGGAGAGAGGGGAGAAGAGGACAGGGAGGAGTAAAGAGGAGGATAGGAGAGGGAGATAGAGGAGGAGAGAGGGGAGAAGAGGACAGAGGAGTAGAGAGGAGGAGAGAGGGGACACAGAGGAGTAGAGAGGGGAGAATAGGACAGAGAGAAGAAGAGAGGAGGAGAGAGGGGAGAAGAGGAGGAGAGGAGGAGAGAGGGGAGAAGAGGACAGGGAGGAGTAAAGAGGAGGATAGGAGAGAGAGATAGAGGAGGAGAGAGGGGAGAAGAGGACAGAGGAGTAGAGAGGAGGAGAGAGGGGACAGGGAGGAGTAGAGAGGGGAGAAGAGGACAGAGAGAAGAAGAGAAGAGGATAGGAGAGGGGAGAGAGGGGACAGAGTTGAGGAGAGAGGGCAGAAGAGGACAGAGGAGTAGAGAGGAGGATAGGAGAGGGGAGAGAGGGGACAGAGTTGAGGAGAGAGGGCAGAAGAGGACACAGAAGGAGCGAAGACGAGAGGAGTGGGGAGAGAGGAGTAGAGAAGGGGAAAGGAGCAGAGACCTTTTCATGACAAAAATACTGTTTTGAAGCGACCACTGTAAACCCGGAAGTAACCATTAACATTAATTAAACATTTTACGTATTTGCAGAGGATCTGATTATGGATTTAGGTTGAGTTTATATTTGAGGCACTCTCCGCTCATGTTCTCCTTTTCCAGTTTTCATATACTGTAGTTCCAGAGAATTCTAATTTTGAAGTAGCTAGCTTAGCTGTTACTCACCTAGCCACGGCACGTCAAAACCTTTGGGAACTATTTTATTTGCAGTCATTAAATAAACCTTTCGACATTCATAAAAGTGGACTGAAGTTTATTTTGTGCGTTCAGTTGGCACAAAGCTGTATAAAAAGCGGTTCGCCTGTCGGTACTTATTTTCCGATAATGACCTGTGTTCTATTCTATACATTATCCCTTACTTAATGTTGGATGTTAATGTAGCAGCTTCAATAAACCATAGAATTACGGTAAGTCTGGCCAAAGCTCTGCTCCACATCTTGATAGTACTTTCTCAGTTACTTAACGGCTCTCTTAGTTAATGGTAGATTACTTTCTAAGCCTCACCTTGTGTTTAGTATGTGAACGGGGGCTGTCTGGAGGAGCTCCTGGCCCGGAAGGACACCCCACTCTGCTGGAGGGAGAAGGTGGACCTGGCCTGTGACATCAGCCGAGGAATGATCTACCTCCACTACAAGAACATCTACCACCGCGACCTCAACTCCAAGGTCTGGACTTTCAAAGATCCATACGCAGCAGTATTTGTGTGTTTGGGTCCTCATGAGATCATGAGAATATTTACGCTTTTGGCACTTTCATGTGTTGTTAAATGGATGGAAATATATTAAACATTGAGAAAGAAATGACGAGAATAAGCAGCGCTCCTATATTGTAGTAGACATGTGAAATATTATATTTTGGTCTAAACACACTGTGATTGAAGACACACATACACAAACGTGAAGAAGCAGTTTTCATTATTTCCCAAAATGAATTTAGAGGATATAGTTGTATTCTAAAAGACAGCTCTGTCCATAGAAAGTCATAGTCTGGGAATTTGTCGTAGTGTAATTTCAAGTCAATTAAAGTCAATGTATTTGTGTATCGTCCTATATCGTCACAGCAGTCGTCTCAGAATTGTGGATTGGCCAGCAACAGATCAGAGAATCAAACCGTTCAAATACAGGAAATGCATTGATAACAAACACCTAGGAGCCATTTGTTTATAGGAAGCGGAATGACCACTGTAAATACAAATGTTCTCTCAGCCGCTAACCCAAAGACACCAATAAACATGCGTTAACTTAGTTTAACAATGGCAAGGCAAGTTTATTTGTTCATACAAATGGCAACTCAAAGTGCTTAACAAAACAAGATAGGAACAATATGCGTTGTCTGCCCCTGGATAGGTCTTAACTAAAACGACCATACTAAATGTTTGGACACCCCTGGCGTAGGTTATGAAGGACTATTGCCTCTGTTTGAAACACATGGATAGACATGAGGTAAGAACACACAACATAACAAATCAGTGAACCCTCTGCACGGAACAATGTAATGAATTAGCATTAGTCCCTTCTAGTGACGTCTATGAGGCATTAACATGAAAAGACATCAGCGGACTCCTTTCTGCTGCTCTGTGCACAACAAAAGAGCAGTCGCTGTGCACACGGCTCTCTGCATCTCTGCTCTCTGCCTTTGGAAACCACGGCAACCACTACTCACAGCGAAAGGGAGGGGCTGTCTGGGAAAGAGGGGACTTTTACAACAGTTACACCTTTAGATTTCAATTGCATCAATAAACAAGTTGTGAAACTAAATCCTCTTTGAACATTTGGGAGGAACCATCGTGATCTGAGATGCTTCTTCTTTGGGACTGGAGCTTCAGGTTGAGTAGGAGCATATTTGTGAGAGACTGGGATCCAGGTCCAAGGCTCAGTTCTCCATGTCTCTGTCCTCCGTTGTACCATCTGGACATGTCCTCTGAGCTTAGGGTTGGTGGGTGGTGGTTGATTTCCTGCTCCTGACAGAACTTGTTCGGTACCACGGCGGTGCAGTGGTTAGAGTTTGTGCTTCAGATCCTGGGTCCTGGGTTTGATTCCACCTTTCTATGTGAAGTAATGGAAACACGGGGAGAACTATCACTAAAACAATGTGCAGTAGGACCGGCATGCGCCTCCTGTGTGGACAATTGTAATACAAAGTCCCATATACAGTACATAAAGATGACTCATATTGAATAATCATTGGTTAGATGGGTTTAGATTGACTGACCCACAGGTTGGCAGCTGTGAAACCATCTCCCATTGGTGAGCTGCTGTGTGTGCTTGTCCCTTTTGACTTCATTACTTCTATTTCAAAATGGAAAAATCCGTAACTGTGAACCACAAGTGATTGAATTTTATTTGAATAACAACAATAATGATAATAATAATAATAATAATAATAATAATAATGAATCCATTGGTTTTATATAGCACTTTACATGTGATTATTAATTCAATCCGTACACTGTGGTGATAAACTATAAGCCATAGCTGCCAGACTGATTCTGAGCAATGTGGGTGAAGTGTCTTGCCTAAGGACACACATGCCCTAAGGAGCTTTTGGACATAAAAATCCTCACATAAACAAAACTTTGCAGTTCAACACGAGAAACCACTTTTCACAAGATATGAGGGGACCGTGTCCTTGTTCAAGTTGGCGAGAGAAAATGAGTGCAAAACCAATATTGCTCAATCTGCGTGTACAGGAAACCAATATTTAATGGAGAAGAGGTCTCACTCTGCTTCAGCGTATATTATGAGGATAAATTCATTGTTGTGTATTACTTTTGCATGTATGAAACTACTTTTTCCTAACAAAATGAATGGCAATGTCTTTGAACTTGAAGACATGAGAGCTGCTGAACATTGAACCAATGCCAAGTCTTGCAATCTTGTTTGTTGTGACTTCTGGGTGCTTGGGTTTCCCCCACCGCTAAAAAATATGTGACGGTTGGGGAGCCTGGTGCATCAGTAATACTTATTAACCAAAAGAATGCATGTAGTATCATCCATCCCCTTGACGTAACCACCACCAGCATGATCAGCTGGTGGTGTATAGTTAGACCAATGGGGAGTGGGCTTTCCTAGTCATACCTGTCTGTCTGATTTCTCGTTCTCATGTTTTAGATGTGAATAAAGACTCAAATAGACATATGGATAAAACATTTGTGATAGAAAAAGTTATGTGCAGAACTAGCAACAAGTCCATCTTGCTGTGTCTTCTGCACATGTGACAGTGTACCCTCTTCCCATGATGCAACTGGGCATTCAGCGGTGTAACAATACACCCGGTGTTCAATTACGTGAGTTTGTGCTCATTAGTGAGGTGACTGTAATGAGATTCGTCTTGGCAGCACTTTTAGACAGAAAAGAATGAGTCGGATATTTCAGGATTTACAGTATAAGCCACACATTAAAGCTGCTGAGAGTAGCAAAAGTACTAATACTTTAATAACGTTACGACCACAACAAAGTAACACACTACTGTAAAATGATTTTTAATGGGGTGAATACTTTGTGGAACCTTTATTCTGTCGTCACAGCCGCCATTCTTCTGTGGTGTGACTCTGTAAGCTTTTTGCCGATTCTTCTTTACAAAACAGTGAACTTTGGAGAAGTTTCTTATAATCAGACTTCAACATTCAAAACCGACTCTTCACTGATTTCAACATGATAGCTGTTTTCCTTGTTCTTTCTGACTGTGAATGGGATACATGGATAATTTGGCAGCAGTGTGCAAGCATGTTAATTCAAAGAAAAAGAAGCTAACTTGATCTGTGGTCTGAGCGGAGCCTGCAGGGCTACACACAGAAGTAGATCTCCTGTGGTAAAGGTTCAGCATTCGGTCGTACCATCTGCACGGACTTCAGTGAGGCGCGTTAATCCTCCTTCTGAATCCACACTGTTTACAAAGCAGCCTTTGTTTCGGCGCAAGTGGTTTGTGTCGAGGTTTAAGCTGCTGGAAAAAGTCAATCAGAGTGTGCAGTAGTAGTAATATCACTGTGCAAGAGTGGCGCCACCTGCAGGTAGTACTGAATACTTAGTACCGTGATGGAAGACCTAGGAATGCCAAGTGTATTGTCCCAAACTGTTGTTGTGTCCTTAGGCAAGACACTTCACCCACATTGCCAAGAATAAGTCTGTGGTTGTGGTTGGTGGTGGTTCTGTCTGTGGCTACAGAAGTAGTTTGTCATCACCATGTATGGAGTGAAGTAAAGTGAATTGTCCAAAAAGCACTGTATAAAACCGGTGCATTCCATAGCAGCAGTAGTAGCACAGTAGTAGTAATAGTAGTAATAGTAGTAGTAGTAGTAGGGATAGTAGCAGTGTATGAAATATTGGTGCAACTACATTTATAAAGGCCATTGAAATCAGAAGACTTTTGGACTAGTCTTCTGTAGATGTTTAGCTGTAGATGTTAAGACACGCTCCTCGCAAATCACAGATGATGAAGAGGTCTGGGAGCAAGTTCGTAAGTGTTCACATGTTTTTATATCAAGGCAAAATATAGAAGCTCCTCTCAGCGCTAGTCACCAGATAAGTTTTAATATTATTGCCCAAAACATCTTTATAACAGAACCACAGTTGTGACATCACGTGGTGTTGGCCTTAATGCAGCAGAGGCCGAGTTGATCATAAGCTAGCTAGAGCTTTGTGCTATAACAGACAAGCTGCTAAGGCTAGCTCGAATTTCCCCCACAAATGAAGCTCTCTGATTGGTCAATCCTTAAGGCTCATATTTGAATTTGCAAAGAAAATATCAAATTATAAATGATATATTTAGAGGGCGCTAAACCACAGATTTTTTACGCCCAAAAAGGTGAGTGTGACACAAATGGTTACTGAGGTAGAGGAGTTTACTTTTCATTGTATCTGAACTTCGACATTGGCCTTCATTGAGCTAGTGCAGGAGTCTGTAACCTTTGTTAACAAAAGGTTGATAACGTTTTAACCAACGGACATTTTCTAGAGCCACAACATATAACAGAACTTATACACTTTTAAAGTTGTATGTATTTCACCAGTTGCAAAGTTTTGTAATATTAAAATAAAAACAGCACATAATAAGTTGAAAGAAACATTTGCTGGAACTTAGAAGTTCACATAAAGCTGGAATACCTTTAATTTTCAAACCAAATACATGTACAGTACATGTAATATAATATCTAACATGTTCCGACTCTAAAGTATGTGTTTTCAGACAGAAAGGTATAACAGAGAGGACCACCCTCAACCAGCCAATCAGCTCTCACTCCTGTACTGACTGCTGCAAAAGATAATATGTTTTCTGATAAGATAAACACAGTAAGAACATGTTACTTTTACAAGAGTCTTTCTGTTGGAGCAAATAAAATATTTGACCTAAAATCTTGGTACCCCAGCTTTAATTTTAGGAACTTAGGTCAGGGTCCCCTCTCCTTTTTTTCAAGGCCAAAGGAGCCCTTGCAAAGAGCAGCATGCAGCTCCGGAGCCGTAGGTTTCCGACCCCTGAGCTCCTGGGTTAGCACAGACCATAAACAGACCATAAATAGACCATCTGTTTTTTAATCCCTAGTTTCCCACCTGAGCTTTTGGTCTCTCCATCCAACTTCAGTGAGCTATGAAGTCTTTCTGTGTGGGGTTTGCAAGTTATCTCCACACGGAATTCATAATTGGAGGCAAAACCTTTGATGATAAAGGCTGAAAACTGCTCTGTCCATGATGTCATGAGTTTTAATCCATATATTTACCTCTAACAGAATTTTAAGGACTCAATAATGCTTCATGTTTGTGTGGGTGTTTGAAATCCTCCTGTAACTTGCATTAAACGGCTCAAAAGGACATGATTTGAATGAGATGTGTGACTGAAGCGGTCGCCCACTGGTGTTACACAACTGCACACTCATCACACCTCCAGCTCCGTTTCTGAAGAAGTCCAATGGCTGTGGTTAAATCTTCATTTATACAATGTTATCACGGAATCTACAGTATTTGTGGCTTTATATTATTAGGCGGAAATCAAATAAATATAAAAGAGGACGTTTAAGTATATTAAACAGTTGCAAGCTACGTCCAGAGACAACAGAAAATTAACCATACATACACACAAGGACACATGGTGCAGAGAGAGAAGCCCTCTGCTACATGGTGTTGTCAGAGAGAGGGTTCACAAACAGAGAGCCACGGTGAGAGACCAGAGGGAGAAACCAGAGAGAGAGACCAGAAAGAAAGACAAGAGACAAAGACCTGAGAGGGAGAGACCAGAGACAAAGACCAGAGAGAGAGAGAGAGAAGAGAGAAAGACCAGAGAGAGAGCGAGACCAGAGAGAAAGACCAGAGAGAGAGACCAGAGAGAGAGAGACCAGAGAGAAAGACCAGAGAGAAGAGACCAGAGAGAGAGAGACCAGAGAGAGAGAGAGAGACCAGAGAGAGAGAGACCAGAGAGAGAGAGACCAGAGAGAAAGACCAGAGAGAGAGACCAGAGAGAAAGACCAGAGAGAGAGACCAGAAAGAGAGACCAGAGAGGAGAGACCAGAAAGAGAGACCAGAGAGGAGAGACCAGAGAGAGAGAGACCAGAGAGAGAGAGAGAGACCAGAGAGAGAGAGACCAGAGAGAGAGAGACCAGAGAGAAAGACCAGAGAGAGAGACCAGAGAGAAAGACCAGAGAGAGAGACCAGAAAGAGAGACCAGAGAGGAGAGACCAGATAGGGAGAGACCAGAGAGGGAGAGACCAGAGAGAGAGAGACCAGAGAGGGAGAGACCAGAGAGAGAGAGACCAGAGAGAGAGACCAGAGAGAGAGACCAGAGAGAGAGACCAGAGAGAGAGACCAGAAAGAGAGACCAGAGGAGAGACCAGATAGGGAGAGACCAGAGAGGGAGAGACCAGAGAGAGAGAGACCAGAGAGGGAGAGACCAGAGAAAGAGAGACCAGAGAGAAAGACCAGAGAGAGACCAAAGAGAAAGACCGGAGAGAGACCAGAGAGAGAGAGACCAGAGAGAGAGACCAGAGAGAAAGACCAGAGAGAGAGACCAGAAAGAGAGACCAGAGAGGAGAGACCAGATAGGGAGAGACCAGAGAGGGAGAGACCAGAGAGAGAGAGACCAGAGAGAAAGACGAGAGAGAGAGACCAGAGAGAGACCAGAGAGAGAGACCAGAGAGAGAGACCAGAGAGAGAGACCAGATAGGGAGAGACCAGAGAGGGAGAGACCAGAGAGAGAGAGACCAGAGAGGGAGAGACCAGAGAGAGAGAGACCAGAGAGAAAGACCAGAGAGAGACCAAAGAGAAAGACCGGAGAGAGACCAGAGAGAATGACCAGAGAGGGAAGTCACTCACATGTCACACTTGATTGGTCAATCAGGGGATTTCCTCAATAACTGTTTATTTATTTATTTTACATTGGAATTGACCTTTTATTCTCATATTTCTAAAGATGGAAACATTTAAAGAAAGTAAATGTGGCGACATAATGTGTGCGTGCGTGTGTGTGTGTGTACAGAACTGCTTGATCCGGGTGACCTCCCGCGGTCGCGAGGCCCTGGTCACAGACTTTGGTTTGGCTCGGGAGGTGGTGGAGCTGCCGGTGAAGGACCCCGGGAGGAAGCTGTCTCTGGTGGGCTCAGCGTTCTGGATGGCGCCTGAGATGCTGCGCGGAGAACCCTACGACCGGAAGGTATTGTCATTGTCCACAAGGATCCATTCTGGACCTCCTGCTTTTATGATCACTATACTGTCAAACTAAGAGAAAGCCAACATGCAAGTGCGCCCTCTGCAGGCCATATGCAAACTACATTGAGATATAAAGAGGTCCAAAACTATTTTAGGAAAATATACTCGCTGAATACAGGTAGTGTATACTGTTATGGCTGAGTGGTTAGCATTCTCGCTTCTCAGCAAAAAGGTTGTTTGAACAGGGGCTTTCTGAGTGGAGTTTGCTTGTTCTCTCCATTTATGCTTAGGTTTCCTCCAGGTGCTACGGTTTCCGCTTCCACTAAAAACATGTAAAATAGGTAAAATTCTACAGCTCTGGTCCAGAAGAGCATCAACATCTGTAGCCCGGCCCCTGTTACTGCGGCGACCGCTGCTGCTGACAGAGGCCCTAGCGGCAATGAGGGATGGGTCAAATGCAGAGGACAGGATAAAGTGCAACTTTAAAAAACTAAAAATTAAATATTAAAATCATATGTAGGGTTTAAAACTTTATACTCAAAATGGTGCTTGATCAAAAGACTCTCCTCCACAGGATTTTGGCTGGATTAATAAGATAAAAAAACTTTAAAAACTAAATTGTGAAGTGCGGAATAGTTTAAAGTGGCTCTATTCTACTGTGCTCCTCTCTGCTCACTTCTACTCTGCCCCAATTGGCAGCGTTTCTACCGACCCTGTTTACCCGACTTGGCCCCAGGTCTAACCAGGCCGAGCCTTTACTAAAGATGTTACCATGTCTCTCAGCTGGTCTGGGAACGCCTTGGGATTCTCCCAGATGAGCTGGAGGAAGTTTGTGGAAACGGAAGTCTGGGCGTTTCTGCTTAAACTGTTGCCCTTGCAAAACGGCAATGGGAGAAAGTGGATGAGAATGGATGGATGTGTGAAATGTTGACAGATAATATAATCATTCGTCGGCCGTGTTAACAGCTAAATCAGTTCATGATGTAAATGCACTCTCTGCAGGTGGACGTGTTCTCCTTCGGGATCGTTCTGTGTGAAATCTTGGCTCGGATCCCTGCAGACCCCGAGATCTTACCCCGAACACAGGTACATTTGTTGTCGTTTGTTCCTTCGGCTATAAGACTAGAAAACAGATCTGTGCACTTTATTAGTAGTTTTTGTCACTTTTAAAGCCTCTCTCGCTATACGCCTACAGATCTGTTATCTAGCTGTGCATTTTACTCTCCTTTATCAGGCCCGCACAAGGCTTTATGTTGGTAGTGAGTGACATCTAGAGGACATACGCTAGAATGCACTGCACATCTCAAACCACATCACAATGTTTGTATTTTGTTAGAATTTATGATTGTGTTCTTAATTTCCCCCAGTTAACAATAATAAAATCCATATTTCTATTTTTTACGTGCACGTGTTTTAGCTTTTATAACCAAAAAGTGAAAAATAGAATACCACCCTCACTTAGCCAATAAGTTCTTAGCCCAAAGAGTCAAACAGTGACTCACAGGGCTTACTTACTTTTGCTTACTAAGACAGCATGTTGTGGTCTGATTTGTTCATTACGTGTTACTTTTAACAAGACGCTGTTGAACAAAAGTAATATGACATATATGAGAAAGGTTCAGCACCCGACACATGATCAATACACACATGTTTTTTTGGAAAATGTATCATTTTTATTCAAGCTTACTTCTTTTATAACTGGTCAGAAAAGCCTTCAAACCAGTGGAGTATTGCGGTCTCTTCATCACATTCACGTGCTGTGTGCTTTCTCAGGACTATGGTCTGGACGTGAGTGCCTTCAACGACCTGGTGAGTGGCTGTCCACAGAAAGTGCTGGAGCTGGCCAACAGATGCTGCCTGGTAATTACATTTTTCTTCTATATTGGTACATCCAGTTTTGTATATGCTTATGAGTATGTACAAGAGTGAGCACTGCTATTGCCGTAATACAAGGCAAACATTTCCAGAGAGACAGAGAGGAGGAGATTGCGGATACAAACGGCCCTCATGAGGTTCCACTGCAGAGTGGCTGGGTGCTCCTTTAGAGATGGGGTGAGGAGCTCTGTCAAATGGAAGGAGCTCGAAATAGAGTCACTGCTTCTCCATGTCAAGAGGAGCCAGTTAAGGTGGCTCGGGCATCTGTTTGGGATGCCTCCTGGACACTTCCCTGGGGAAACTAGGGGAAGACTCAGGACACTCTGGAGGGACTATAGCCCTGTTTCCACCAGCCGTACTGTATTGTACTCTACTCTACACTGCCCCAATTGGGACGGTTTCCACCAGCCCTGTTAAATCAGCATCAGATTAAACAGTACCCTGGTTTTATACAGGCCAAGCTGGAATCAACGTGTTCTAATTGACATTGACTGCTGCTGTAAGCCACAGTTACCAAGGAATATCCCTGCATACTGGTTAGTTGTGAGCTAAGTTATGAGTGGGGAAATCTTATCTTATCATAATGGAAATGCAATCAGCGAGAGTAGAGTAGAGTGGAGGAGAGGAGGGTAGACTAGAGTAGAGTAGGGTCAAGTAGAGCTGTTGGAGATGGGGCTTTAGTCTCTCTGCTGGCCTGGAAACCAGGATTCCCCTGGATGTGTCTGGAGAGGGAGGTCTTGGCATCTGCTGCACCCGCAACCCGGTAGTGGGTAAAGCTGTAGAAAATGTAATGGAATAGCAAAAATACTGAATGACTCCTTTACCTTAAGTCTAAAAGTACAAGATTTTGCTTGTACATTTTGTTGAATAAATTAAGAACAAAATGTTCATTTGAGACAAGCTGAATAGTCCGAACATAGAAGCGCAGCTAACCCTGATGACTCTGTTTTTTGTCTACTGTGTGTATTTACTAGAGCAGTAAAGTTTTATCATCCAGATTTGTTTGTATGCCTTTATATCTATTTTTGACAATTTTTCTTACTTGTTATTGCAACATATTATGATTAATTCACTTGGAAGCACAGCTACCCACTTGTATGCCATATGAATTATGAATGTATAGATAGATTTACACAAAGGCAATAAAACAACCCGTGTGTTTCTCACCCCTTTCTGTGTGACCTGGGTCTTCAGCTGGAGTCCTTCAGGCGGCCGGCCTTCACAGAACTCCTGGACGAGCTGGGAGAAGTGGCCGAGAGCCTGGAGCTGCCGGAGAAGCCAGACTTGGACACCAGCTGAGGTCTTTGGAGAGACCCAAACCCGGACTGAGGTCTTTGTCGAGACCTAAACCCGGACTGAGTCCAAGTGGCCTGGGCACACAGGTCCTGGAGCGTGGCCAGGTCTGAGGAACTGAATGAGGACATTTCAACTTTGTATATAAGAACTTTTCACGTACAGTTTGTAGTTTTAGAGGTTAAGGTTTTGATTCTTTGGAGTATTCCAACTGTTTATATTTGTCTTTATTATCATTTAGCAGACATTATATTTCATAGTGAGCAGGGGGCACATGTTTGGAGTTTCTCATCTCCACACTCAAAGCCTAACCTCTTCTGGTCATGTAACGCACCACACGCTGGCAGAAGAGTCAAACACAACTGAACTGTTGTGTAAACACACACATGTCACAAAGTACTCAGCATTTTCTAATCAACATTTAAATGGTTTTAAATTTTAAATTTTTTCCTTAAAGATCAAAAAACAATGGACTCGATGGCCACACTTTGAACATGTATTCATTTCTCAAGCGGATTATCCTATCAGAACAAGAATGCATCATTTGGGTTGCCAGTTTCTTTGCTGAAATCCAGCTGCTTGGGTCTCTGCCTAAACACAGCAGCTGCAGCAAGTCCACACGGCAACTCTACTCTGGGCCTGGGCTAGGTCTGGTTCAGTCCACAGGACCAGGGTTAGGTCTGGTTCAGACCACAGGACTAGGGTTAGGTCTGGTTCAGACCACAGGACTAGGGTTAGGTCTGGTTCAGACCACAGGACCAGGGTTAGGTCTGGTTCAGACCACAGGACCAGGGTTAGGTCTGGTTCAGACCACAGGACCAGGGTTAGGTCTGGTTCAGACCACAGGACCAGGGTTAGGTCTGGTTCAGACCACAGGACCAGGGTTAGGTCTGGTTCAGACCTGGGGGGTTAGGGTGTGGTCTGTCATACGGTGGACCTCTTGATGTGCACAGGTTCTTTTTGACGCTCTCTTTAGAGCTTAGGTCTGTTATTGACGAGGAAACAATGTGGTAATGTACATATACTGTATCTTCTTTTACACTAGAACCCCAGAGCAGTAAATTTGACGGCTTTGAGACTCAGCGTATGTACCGTTTTGGTGTTCCTTACTTTTTCTGTATCAATAAAAAGTTTATTTTTATGTTATTTTTTAAATGTGAGTAGCTCTACCTTTAACTAAAATTCAATTGTAGCCATTTTATATATGTGTACAGTGGGACAAAAAAGTATTTAGTCAGCCACCGATTGTGCAAGTTCTCCCACTTAAAATAATGACAGAGGTCTGTAATTTTCATCATAGGTACACTTCAACTGTGAGAGACAGAATGTGAAAACAAAATCAAGGAATTCACATTGTAGGATTTTTAAAGAATTTATTTGTAAATTATTGTGGAAAATAAGTATTTGGTCGCTTCAAACAAGGAAGATCTCTGGCTCTAACAGACCTGTAACTTCTTCTTTAAGAAGTTCTTCTGTCCTCCACCTGTTACCTGTATTAATGGCACCTGTTTGAACTTGTTATCTGTATAAAAGACACCTGTCCACAGCCTCAAACAGTCAGACTCCAAACTCCACTATGGCCAAGACCAAAGAGCTGTCGAAGGACACCAGGAAAAGAATTCTAGACCTGCACCAGACTGAGAAGAGTGAATCTACAATAGGCAAGCAACTTGGTGTGAAAAAATCAACTGTGGGAGCAATTATCAGAAAATACAAGACCACTGATAACCACTGATAATCTCCCTTGATCTGGGGCTCCACACAAGATCTGATCCCATGGGGTCAAAATGATCATGAGAACGGTGATCAAATATCCCAGAACCACACGGGGGACCTGGTGAATGACCTGCAGAGAGCTGGGACCAAAGTAACAAAGGTTACCATCAGTCACACCCTACGACGACAGGGAATCAAATCCTGCAGTGTCAGACGTGTCCCCCTGCTGAAGCCAGTGCATGTCCAGGCCCGTCTGAAGTTTGCCAGAGAGCACATAGATGATACAGCAGAGGATTGGGAGAATGTCATGTGGTCAGATGAAACCAAAGTAGAACTGTTTGGTATGAACTCAACTTTTCGTGTTTGGAGGAAGAAGAATACTGAGTTGCATCCCAAGAACACCATACCGACTGTGAAGCATGGGGGTGGAAACGTCATGCTTTGGGGCTGTTTTTCTGCTTAGGGGACAGGACGACTTATCCATGTTAAGGAAAGAATGAATGGGGCCATGTATCGTGAGATTTTGAGCCAAAACCTCCTCCCATTGAGTTGAATTTTTGTTATTGACCAAATACTTATTTTCCACCATAATTTACAAATAAATTCTTTAAAAATTCTACAGTGTGAATTCCTGGATTTTTTTTCACATTCTGTCTCTCACAGTTATTTAAGTGGGAGAACTAAATACTTTTTTGCCCCACTGTATATGTATATGTAAATATAATATATATAATATATATATATAAATATATATATATATATATATATATATATATATATATATATATATATATATATATATATATATTATGGCTCTGGGAATGCTCGTGTGGTATGTTCTGGGTTTTGCATTTGCCATAACACATTTTGAATTCATACTTTTTCTGGCTTGAATGTTACTACAGTTCAATATCAACATTGTCCTATTCCTTGTATTTCTGTTGCTTTATGGATGTAGTAAATATCTGATCTTTGACGAAAACCTCTTTGGGGATTGGATGAACTGTTACAGACTGTTATTTGATCAATACATTCTGCTTTCATGGTTGTTGTTCTCTTGTTCAGCTTTGTCTCTTTGGAAATATGTGCTACAATAAACATTTCCAGTTATTTTACTACAACAAGTGTCTTGCATTGAAGAGAGAATGTTTGACCGCATTGTGCCAGATTCACAAAATGCAAACAAAGCGGGATGTACGGATCCTCAGATTTATACTGGGATTATGTCCCAGTCTGTCTCTCTCTCTGCATTTGGAGATTGCTGCAAATCATCTAAGATATTATCACTTCACATTCTGTTCATTGGTCTTTCTAACCGAGCTGATGACTTCACCTAACATCTAATGTATATGCATTTATTATACTGGAGCCCCAACCTTCCTCCAGAGGGGGGCATCAGTCCCCCCACTAGCTATGGCCCTAGCTAGTGGGAGGAAGCTACCACTAGCTTCCCCCCACTAGTGGGGGGGAAGCTAGTGGGGGGAAGCTAGGGGGGAAAATAGGCAATATTTTTTTTATTGCCTATTTGTTAGACATTTAGTGGTCCCAAGATATGTAGTGGTTCACAAAAGTTTCACCTGGGGACCACAGTCAAGAGTGTGTGTGTTCGTGGGAGGTACTTTAAACCCAACACCCAAGAAATTAGATATACTTTTCAAAAAAGATGAGGGACCGTACATGAGGAAGGGGGAGGCCTCCGGCTTTGACCACCATGATGTCACACTCCAGAGTTCAGCTGCCCACACAGCCTCGAAGATAACAGAGTTAAACTGATTAAAACAACAGATTTGGAAAAGGTATCTCAAATATGAGGTACCTTGAATGATACACATTGTTTATTGTTTAAGAAAGTTCAGTATTTTAATACAGCATGAAAACGGAGTCTCGAAAAGGGACCCACGTACAGTCCGAGCTGTGCCCAGAAAGGTGCCATATAAATAACATGTTTTATTAGTATCATTATTATTAATATTGTTGTTGTTGATGATGATGATAATAATGATACATTTTATTATTATATCAGGCTGTAATGTGTTGTTGTGTCAGTAGAGGCCGCCCTCGTATCATTATGATTGCCCAAACAATAATAATGAAATAAAAAAGGCAGAGGAGCTTCAGAAAGCCGCGGTCTGCTGTGTGATTGAGAACACCTGTTTAACATTTGCATAATATTAGGCTTTTCTTCAGTTCTATATATTTCATTATAATTTAAGACGAGCCAAATTTATTTGTATTGCACAGTCCAGACACAGAGCAACAAATCAAGAAACAATCACAAAAGGCATTAAATAATCACAGTGCAAGAGTAAAGGCACAATCCTTCAGTTGTTTACACAGATAAACACTGTTTTAACTTGGATTTGAACATTGTCAGAGTAGAAGCCTGTCTCACATTTTCAGGAAGACTGTTCCAGATTTTGGTGGCATAAATCTGAAATGCTGCCTCCCCGTGTTTAATCCAGACTCTGAGCACCAGCAGGAGGCCAGTCCCTGTGCTCCTCAGAGTCCCAGCACTAGACCAGTTCCTTGGTTGAGTCGCACCCTTATGCCTAGCGTACATCGGACTGGCAAATGATTATATCCGTCGCATATGAGTTGCTGTCCCGCACACATCGACAATCTGACGAAAACGGGCAACTCCTGGTAGCAGACCAGTCTCAGGAATAACAGCGCGTACATCGACAGCAACGGTTCGTCAACTACAGTGTGTTTTCTGACATAAACTGTAGAGGGCGCACACATGTAGTTGGAGCGTGCACATCGGGTCATATCTCCGGATCTGAGTACAACTAGTTGCCGAAAAGTAGAACATGGGCAACTGACTGAATCCGGAGACCGACTGTTTATCTCCAGTTGTAAGAGCGCGCACATCAACCGATGTCGGCAACTGATCATCTCCCATCATCTCCTCTCAGTTGCCAAAAGCCGCCTTGCAACTAGTTCTCTCCAGTTTCTCTGTCAATGTACGCTAGGCTATAGAGCTGTGGGATTGCGCTGAGCAGAAGGCCCTGAAAGTGGAGTCGTTACAGACCAAATGTAAAAAAAAAAAAGCATTCTGCACGATATGTGTCCTTTAAACTTCAACAACAACAGAGCGAGTCCTCGTCCTCCTGCTGTGGACGGTTGATGAGAGCGCCCCGTCCCTCATGTCCCGCAGCAGCTCTCTGTAATTATATCTCTGGCTCATTAGACCAAGAGACTGATTACAGCAGAGAGGACCCAGCTGCAGAGACCCTGAGGTGACAACTCTCACACTTCGACCGCACGACCTGAGAACATGAAGTTAAACACATGCAGTAGGTGTGAAGAGCTGTTCCGTTTGTTCCTCATTATCTAATGCTCTGTTTATGTCAAATCAATGTGAATAATATTGAGAAAGTTATCTTTATTAGTTTGGGTACGATGGATTCATAAGACTTTTAGAGCTACTAAAAAAAACTACTTGTGATTACAGTCGACAGAAGTCGGTGATTTTCCACTTTATTTTTTTGTTGTAAAGCCAAACATATATTTGTATCTTTTACCCACAATAACATGTCTTTCCCATCCCATTTCTTTAGTGTTTCAAATCTACATGGGTCCTTTTGTGGGAGCCGATCCCTCTCTCATCTTCGGACCTCACTGAGGTTTCTCACTTTTTTTTCCTGAGTGGTTCCTTGTTGATGCAGGAGGGTCTAAGACCCTGTTTAGACGGACACGTTGCAGCAATGATTTAAAACAATTAGCAAAAATGACCAGGCTCATTATTCGTCTTGACACCGTCAGACAAAACTATCCGTGACCCCCAGCAGTATAAACACTTCCTCAACAACATCCTCCTCAGACCACCGCAAAGACATGACAGAACCAACATCATTCTGCACTTAACAGTAGCAGCAAAAATGTAATCTGAAAATAGAGCTTTGTGTGGTTTAGTTTGGACAACGCAGTAGAATTCTCCTCCATGGCCCTGGAGGATCCAGACACGTCACAGAGCTACACTTGTTTTGTAGGAATTTAATAAAAGCTGCTAGCTTAAAATCGTCAGCATCAAAGCCCGCTCACCACTTCCCTGTGTTCATGCGACATCTTAGGGCAGTTGGATTAACTAAACTCATGTGGCTAATGAAAATGTTTCCAAGACTCAACAAAGCAGCGTCGACCTGTCGGAGGTGGGGACTTTAGCGTTTGCAGTGGAAATGAGGCTGTATACAGTGACACATGCGTCACTGTATACAGCCTCCTCTGATGAAGGCCGGAGTCTACCGCCCCAAACATGTGGGCAGAGAGACATTTCTGCCTTATTAAAAGAACCGTGTAAGCCTGAAATGCCAACTCAGGTCATCTCATTTATCTCTTGGACATTGCAGCTAACTGTCTACTCCTCCTTTTGAGAGACGACACAAGAATAAACCCAGAGTGAACAAAACGATCATCTTTATGTTGACGTTATTATAGTCCAGGTGGATACAGAGCATATTTCCCACTCTTTGAACAGCAGCACAGTTTCCGCCCACCATCTGCTCTTTTAACACAGAGCTGTTTTTCAAAAGGAGAGAGATTATCCAGAGAGGCCAAACGTCCAGGCTCAGCTCAGGTGACGGCTTCTGTCAGCGCTGCAGATAACCGCGGCAACACAACCAGTGGATATGTCACGTATGGCTGACACACACAGAGCCACGTCAGCATGTGTCTGTGGTTTTGGCTTGAGGTGAAACGCCTCAGCTGCACTTTCTCCCCACACACCTGACTCAGAGACCGCTCCTACCCATGTGAGCGGGGAGCTGCTCATGGTGATTCCTTATGTTCATTTCCAGCCTTTTAATAAAAATAAAACAACTAAAAAATAATTGCTATACTCTAAATTGCAACCTACTTCAGTTACAAAATATCACAAAAATGTATATATTTTGGTTAGGATTCTCTTTTAAGAGAAAAGAGCCAGATCCGTCAGACCTCTGATGGTGGTGGTGGGAGGGGCCAATGGCACAGACTGGTTGCCTCACTTCTGTCAGTGTGCCCCAGGGCAGCTGTGGCTACAGGAGTTACCACCAACACGTATGGAGTGTTTTTGAGTTTCCAGAAAAGCACTGTATAATAAATTGTTATTATCATTACTTTTATCATTATTATTATTACTATTATTATTATTATTACATCCAGTGTTTTCTTTATGTTTGTGGAGAATTTGTTTTTGGCACATATTTTGCTCGGTGGCTATATTTTAGAAATAATTCTTTGAGCAAATCATTATTTTATTGAACACGAGTTTAGGTTTTCTTCTTTGGTTGTTTTTTAAAATTAAAGAATAATTCAGTTTAGCTTGAATTGAACCAAAACAAGAAAGTAAAAAAAGGCCGGGTACCGTAGCTGCATTAGATGTTTTTGATGAATTATTACTACCTGTAATTCTTCTATAGAGCAGCTGAATAAATGAGGTAAAACACGCTATAAGTGGCCAGCCATCATTATTGACTCCATTCATTTAAATAAAGTCAAAATAGATCTGCATAGAAAGGTGAACCAGGTCTGTGTTTGAGGCCCTCAGGTTCCATGCACAGTCAAATGAGCCTTTAATGGATGCTCTATTCCGCACAATGGACCATTTTCTCTTTCGAATCGAACCCTGTGACTCATTCCTGTTTCCATGTTGTCATCACATCTTTCACAACACACTGATTCTGGAGTGATTCGATGGGCACAACATCGTCTTCTGCCTCTCACTGTTCTGAAAGACTTGACCAAACAGAAGTCAGTCACACCGCAGCTTCATCATGTTCAGCCGGATTTAAGAAAAGCACGTTTTGTCATCTGCTCTGAGCTGTGTACGCGATGACTTGAGTGATGTGTGTTAAGTTCAATCCAATTAACCTTCAAGTCAACTGCAAGGTACCGGACCTGGAGGAGGAGGAGGAGGAGGAGGAGGAGGAGGAAGAGGAGGCAGGGGTCAGCGGGAACCACAAATCACAATCTTTCTATCGCCAGTGTCAGTGAACTATAGGTATTTTCTTTGGCATTATGTTCAACAACAGAAGAGTTTGCTTTTTGATCTAATTCAATAGAAGCCAGAGCAAGTCGGAGCAAAACTTTGTCCAGGAGCACTTTCCTATTGAGCTAGCGCATTAACGAGGTATTGTCCATTTATCTTCAAGCTATGCCTCCAGCAACTATTTCACCAATCACTGTCAGTTAGAACACATCGGTACCAATTCAGCCTGAATAGAACCAGAGCCAAGAGGGACTAAAGAAAGGTCAGTGGAAACCCAATCAGGGTAGAGTAGAGTAGAGTAGACGAGAGCTGAGCAGAGTAGAGTGGAATAGAGTGGAGCTAGAGTAGAGTAGAGTAGAGCTGAGTAGAGTAGAGTAGAGTAGAGTAGAGTAGAGTAGAGTAGAGTAGAGTAGAGTAGAGTAGAGTAGAGTAGAGTAGAGTAGAGTAGAGTAGGGTAGAGTAGAGTAGAGTAGAGTACACCTGAGTAGAGTAGAGTATAGCGGAGTAGAGTAGGGTATAGTAGAGTAGAGTAGAGTAGAGTAGAGCTGAGTAGAGTAGAGTAGAGTAGAGTAGCGTAGAGTAGAGTAGAGTAGAGCTGAGTAGAGTAGAGTAGAGTAGAGCAGAGTAGAGCAGAGTAGAGTAGAGTAGAGTAGAGCTGAGTAGAGTAGAGTAGAGTAGAGCTGAGTAGAGTAGAGTAGAGTAGAGTAGAGTAGAGTAGAGTAGAGTAGAGTAGAGTAGAGTAGAGTAGAGCAGAGTAGAGCTGAGTAGAGTAGAGTAGAGTAGAGTAGAGCAGAGTAGAGCTGAGTAGAGTAGAGTAGAGTAGAGTAGGGTTTGTGTGTGTGGGACATACTGTAAGAGCCGCTGTTATCACATTTTCATGTTTGTTTTTATTATTTGATGAGCAGCTGTTTTCCAAGAACCCGCTGACTCGGTTTTGAACTCTCCACATCTTCCATTTCCACTTCACAAAAACGAGCCTTTGATATTCTCCACGTGTGAACGACCATCCTAGTTTCCTGTAAATCCTCCGGTTTGTCTCAGCTTCGGTCTCACATCCGCACGCAGAGCCCAGGGTGGAGCTGCTGTGTTTGAGTGACAGGAGCGGCTCTCATGCACTATTCATCCCTCTGGCCTCACGCTGCTCTGGTCCACGTGCTGGGGCCGCTCAGGAGGCGCTCCGCCATATATGGGCAGAGACGGCGTGAAGGAAGTCATGGCTGCCAGATGAAAACCACTGAAACTGGCACAGAGCAATAATCCAATACCTTCTTCAACGTTCAATCATATTTTTGCATGTTATAAAACTCAGCCTATCCCTGTGTTTAGAGCATAGACTGTACACAGATGGACAATGCTAACCTGCTAGCTCAATAAAACTCAAAAGGGAATTGCTCATGGACAAAGTTTTGCTCCAACTGGCTCCTATTGACTAATATTAAAAAGTACACTTCTCAGTAACTGTTTGGGCTTAAATCTTGGATAAGCGCTCTCTATGATCCTGGTGTAATATTGGGAAACTGTCTTTGTAAATGCAGATATGAGCCAAATAAGGACCGACCAATCATATGCCTTCATTTGCCGAGGAAACACCAGCTTGTCAACCCTCTGAGCAACACATCTGTCCCTGTTACAGCACAAAGCTAATGCCGCAGATGAAATTCTCAATTAAGGAAATGGGCCTCAGCTAGCTTATGTTCAAATTGGCTTCTTCCGCACCAGGCTAACATGGTGACAGCAGCACTCTTCTAGTGATTGGCCTATATTTCTAAATCCATTTTTTACTACATTTTTGATAAAAAACAATAATTTCATAAACAACGATGTTATATATTTATTTTTCTATTTGACTGAGGGTGGTTGTCTCTTTTTCACTTTTCTTTCTGAAAAAGATGATCTAAAGATGGGGCCAAAAGAATACAGGCACATATTTTATTTTGTTTCGTTTTGGAGTTGTTCCTTCTGATGCAGGAGGGTTCGGGACATTTCTGGACAGTGTTCATCTAAGGACCGAGGGCTCCTATGTGTTTGTCATGATTGCATTTCCTGTGTTCTAACTGTTTGATTCTCTGATCTGTTGTTGGCAAATTGACAAATTTGTAAAGTTCTCAAGTACAACTGCTGTTGTTATTTAGGGCTATATGCAAACACATTTAATTCAATTGAAAAAATAGAATCTGGTAAACTACCCAGTAGCCTACCCATTTCCTTGCACTGCCAACATTAGTACCGGCTCGGCCTGGATAGAACCAGGGATAAGAGGGACTAAAGAAGGACCTGGTACCAGTTAAACAGGGCCAGTGGAAACACTCCCAAACGGGGTAGAGTAGAGTAGAGTAGAGTAGAGTAGAGTAGAGTAGAGTAGGTGGAAACAGGGCTCTATATACTGTACTGTAAGTACTCAGAAACAAATACACTCTAGGAGCAATACATTTATATAGTTAGCAGGCAAGGATAAATAGATAAAGTTGTACTTTTTTGCAGCTTCTGACATTTAAGTCTGTGTTATAAAAACGACTGCACACATTGTAATTCAAAGAGTTTTTATTGAGTCAAGAGTTGATTCAACATGACACGATTGTGTCGCACTGTTAAATATTCCTAAACATGATCCAGATGTCAGTCACTGCTGCTGTCGGACCACTCCCCCTCATCAGACCCACTCGTGTCCCAGCGGGGAACACTGATCCGAGTATTATTAAACCATCACTGTCAGAAAGGGTTACGCTGTGGGAGCTTGCCGTGTTGATTAAGATCTCACTAAAATATTTTGGATCTGAGATGCACGGATTCTGATGTAGTGTTGGAGTCCTCTCTCAATAAGGGTTACTGGGTTTTTGAGTCATTTCTTGCCGATGCAGGAGGGTCTAAGGACAGTGGTGCACTTTTCTGGACAGTGGTCATCCCGCTCCCTATGGACTCATATGTGTGTTTGTTATTATTGCATCTCTTGTGTTGGAACTTCACTCATCTGTTTTTTGGCAAATCTACAACTTAGCAGAGTAGAATGGAGTAGAGTAGGGCCAAACAGGGCTGGTAGAAACAGGCCTTATGTTTTCAAATCATTTTGCAGCTCATTTGATGAATCTAACTAAGATTGTTTTAGTAATGAGAATATATTAAGTAACATGCAAACAGAGAAAGACATTTAATCAAAATGAGCAATCATCCTACAAATAATGTCTCAAAATTTCCCCAAACAAAAATGTAATGTTCTCTGCAATTTCAGGAGGAGCATTGAGACAGGTTCGTGCCAGAAATGATCAGTGGATGGCTCTAGAAAACAGGTCCAAGACTGTTTTGACCTGGACCGAATTTTCCTTTAAACTTCCTGGATGACCCAAATAATTATAACGGTGGTGTGTATAATAATAAATTCTCCTCAGGTTCAATTCCCAGTTGCATCAGTTCTTCTCTCTGTTACGTTTAATGACCTCACAAGCCCTATGTTAAAAGTATTTTTGTCTTTAATGCACATTAATTTCTGGATGCACCAGACTCTTAACCACTTTTTCCCCCCAACTGTCCATTTTCAACTGTTTTTACTCATCACATCCATAGCTGAAGGATCTATGGACCTCTTCTTCTCTGCCAGTTTGGCTTGATGTTTTAAACGTAATCTGAGCTTTTCTATTTTCCCTTGTCTATCCACAAATGCACACAGGGGACATGACAACCTGGACTCCCTGGACCTGAGCTCTAGTTCCCAGTCTGAAACCTGGACTACCTGGACCCGAGCTCTAGTTCCCAGTCTGAAACCTGGATTCCCTGGACCCGAGCTCTAGTTCCCAGTCTGAAACCTGGACTCCCTGGACCTGAGCACTAGTTCCCAGTCTGAAACCTGGACTCCCTGGACCTGAGCACTAGTTCTTAGTCTGAAACCTGGACTCCCTGGACCTGAGCTCTAGTTCCCAGTCTGAAACCTGGACTCCCTGGACCGAGCACTAGTTCCCAGTCTGAAACCTGGACTCCCTGGACCTGAGCACTAGTTCCCAGTCTGAAACCTGTACTCCCTGGACCTGAGCTCTAGTTCCCAGTCTGAGACCTGGACTCCCTGGACCTGAGCACTATAGTTCCCAATCTGAGACCTGGACTCCCTGGACCTGAGCACTATAGTTCCCAGTCTGAAACCTGGACTACCTGGACCTGAGCACTAGTTCCCAGTCTGAAACCTGGACTCCCTGGGTAAGTAAGAGGATTTGGACTGCTTTTCAACGTGAGACATTAATAAGCCTCAAGGGGACTATTTGTGGACTGGGCCAAGTTTGTCTGGTTTTCCGATTTTAATTCAGTCCTCGGGTCTCTTCTCTGGATTTTAAGGGCTCAGATGAAAAGGTCACACACCATTAGGCCCGAGCGCTGCTGTAATCAGTGAGATGGGTGTTTACTCTGCCAACTGTGAGGACGTGTGCGGCGATGGAACGTTTGGAGTTTTGCAACAGCTCAAAGTTAAATCATTGAAATGACTCCATCTAAGATCTAATTCACCAATGAGCAAACATTTAAACTTTCACCATTTTCCACAAAATACCAAATCCACTGAGTCAGACCGATCACCGAACACTTTGATTTAAAAAAATACTTAAGCAATAGTTTTCAGAAATATGAGTGGTTTTAATATTTATCATATGGCCCCTAAACCCCATCTGTACAGGTCAAAACTGAGACCTGCTTGTAATTAAGTCAGTGATTGATCATCTCTGAGGTATTTGTCTTATCATATGAGTAGAAGTCATTATGTCCAGACCCTTCGATTAAGTCACCTTCATATGATCAGTTCAATTTGGAGAGACGAGAAACGAAAATGGTTATGAGTATTTATTGAGGTGGTTTGGCGCCCTAGGCCCCGGTGCGGCCTTCAGATCGGAGAGGCTCCTGCGATGGAGCGTGTACAATCCCCCGGGACCTAGGCACTGGTGGCGGCAGATTGGAGGCAGATTGGAGGCAGATTGGAGGCAGATTGGAGGCAGATTGGAGGCAGATTGGAGGCAGATTGGAGGCAGGGTGAAGAGGAGGAGGAGGGGAGGCGGTGGTTGCGAGGCTTCGAGAAGGCCGAGAGTGGGAGTTGCTCCGCTTTTAAGCGGCTGCCTGTCCGGCACGGATGATTGGAAGGGGGCGTTTGCTGAGCGATAGGCTGGGGAAGCGAACCGGCCTGGAGGGGGTAGCTTTTGGCTGACGTCTACCAAATTGAATTTTCGCGAGCTACATTTCAATTTGGAGAGACGAGAAACGAAAATGGTTATGAGTATTTATTGAGGTGGTTTGGCGCCCTAGGCCCCGGTGCGGCCTTCAGATCGGAGAGGCTCCTGCGATGGAGCGTGTACAATCCCCAAAAAGGCTGTGTGTTGATGGAGTTTTGCAGCCTGGTTTGCAGGGAACAGACGTCGTGGCTACTCTATGCTGTGACCGCTATCGCTATGCTGTGACCGCTATCGCTATGCTGTGACCGCTATCGCTATGCTGTGACCGCTATCGCTATGCTGTGACCGCTATCGCTATGCTGTGAACCGTTTTGCGCTAACCATTTTTTGCTATGCTGTGACCGCTAACACTAACGCTATGACCGCTACCACTGACGCTATGACCGCTATCACTGACGCTATGACCGCTATCACTGACGCTATGACCGCTATCACTGACGCTATGACCGCTATCACTGACGCTATGACCGCTATCACTGACGCTATGACCGCTATCACTATGTGCTGTGACCGTTATATGCGGTTATCTTTGAGTGCCGGGACGTGAGCGCTCGCATCACGATCAACCGGACGCTGCGGCGGGGTTATCTTTGAGCGCTGGGACGTGAGCGCTCGCATCACGATCAACCAGACGCTGCGGCAGGGTTATCTTTGCGCGCTGGGAACGTGAGCGCTCGCATTACGTTCCGTCAGACGCTGCGGCAGCGGAGAGTGTTTGAGAGAAATGCGTGCCGCCACCAGAATCTTATTGGTTCACTTACTTTGTTTGAGATGAAGGTTGAAAGGGTCAGGGGACATAATGTTGGGTGAAAGAGAGCGACCTTTGTGTAATGCTTCCACTACGTCGAGATTATCACACATGACCGAGATCCTCTTTCTCCGCCACGCGTGATTCCACAGCGCGCAGGCCACGACCACTGGGAATATCTCGTGTAGGGCAGAGGAGATGCTCCGGTGGAAAGTAGCGGCCACGGCCCGGCAACCCAATGGTCCTGGAAGAATCCCCC